GTAAAACTCGATTCATCTCTAGTTTGTTCGCTTCGGGTAACCGTGCTTAGCCATTGTTTTGCAATGCTGTCTGCTGTGCTGAACAGCTCAAGTACCGGAATCCGACACACTCATGCCCAAGTCCGGCCTCTCGATTGCCCCCCGCATGTAAGCGCAAGAAGCAACGGGAACACGTTTCAAACAAAAACAGCATGCGCACACTCCGTCGCGCAAGTCAGTGCATCACAGCCTTCACAAGCAAAACCGCATGGGACACAGCACTTTCAGTGCGTCAAACAAGTCAGCGCAAACTTTTGGCAAACCCGATGGGTCGCACTGTGTCAACATTTGTTGGATGTACCATGCATAGACCCGCATGAGACTGACACACACACACACACACTCATACAACTGCTTGGAGGTAGACAACCGCACAAGTCACCGCAGTACCTCCCATGGAAAGCCACCCGTCATTTCCCCCGCATGGAATGCTGCTAGTATTGATGTGGGCTTGTTTTTTCAGGCGTCAAGTTGCCCATGGAACGCAGCCAGCAAGCTGCTGGCAACTCCAAAGCCCCATGCAACGCCGTGCTTGCAACATCGTCATGTCTGCGTCCAGTCTGAAACTAAATTCAATTCCAACATGTCAATAGAGCGCAGCATGTGTTTGTTTGCAATTTGAGTCGAAAAAAACTCCATGAAACCCACTGGAACCCACTGAAACTTAATCCAGAAGCTTCCATTTGCTTCAGACCCCTCGAAAAATAAAAAAAATATTATATTTCCAGTAGTGATAGCTTCCCTTGAAAACTAACAGGGGGAAAATAAATAAAAAATCAAGCAAATGGACGAAAGCTTCAAGTAGGTTTTGGGCCCCTTGGATTCAAATGGAGCAGCGGACTTCCGAGGCGCCAGCAGTCCGCGGCCTGCGGAAGGCCTGGGGCCACCAGCAGGGAGCAGTTGGACGCCAGCGGGAGCCGCGCGCCGTGCGGGAAGCGCTCGGAGAAGTCCTCTGATTCGCTGCCCGAAGGGTCCCCATTGATTTTAGGTCCAATAGAGAGCTTGGAATAAGGGGACCAACTTGTTTCTGTCTATTTTTGTAGGGGAACCCTCCCCCAAAGGGTAAAAGGGCACTACTGGGAGACCTAGGGATTTTGGGCCACTGGGTTCCAAGGGCGGGGTCGGGGTCTCCATAGCACCCAGGGGTATGCATAGTGGTCAGCCGGGGAGGGGTTTCCACTAGCCCCCCTCTGGAGAATCGGGCATATAGTTGCTTACCCTCGTCTTCACCTGCGCAGTTTCGAATGTTCAATAGAACTTCCGCTTGGATGGGTGGACTTGCCAGATCCTGATGACCCCATATGACCCCTCCCACATCCTCGAGGGAGGCACGCACATCGATGCACTGCCCGCTTCGCAGGAGCGCAAAGTTGTTGAAGCACAGCGTTTTGTAGCCTCATGGGTCAGCGTGCTGGTGGCATACAAAATGATCACTGGGGACCTGACATGGACAACAGCGAGTTTAGTCCATGCAGCTACTGTGCAAGGGACCTGGCAAAGGTAATCCCCTTGGGGGCTTAAACATGGAAACCTCAAGGGTCCGTCTTGGGTCTGGGTCTGTTTGAATGTGGGCAAAGGGCAAAGCTCGGAGAGTAACCAGCAGAACCCCCCAACACTTCTCATGAAATTAACTCACAAGATACCCAGAACTCAAGCTGCCATGGGCCAAGCCTCTACAGGCAAACAAAGCGTCAGCTGATGAGATACATGGGATCCTGAAATATGTCCCCTGTTTCAACCGCATAGGATATGAGCCACTTTGAAGCCACTTCATGGCACCCCTTTGACATGGGAACTTCATGAGTAAGCCATGCCCTGTGCCATCCCCTTTGCAAATGATGGCGGTCAATATTGACTGTTTGCTCATATGCCTACACCTCCCAAACGGGAATATGTTTTTTTTTTTGTGCTAATCTAGGTTCTTTGAACAATACTTTTCCAGAATCCTAAGGAATGTCGGGTCCGCAAACTCTAAGTGTAAACCAGCCAATGCTCAATACTAAATCAGGGATTTCGGCGACCGTCCCCAACTCCATTCGAATTAGGGGGCCTTTCAGAAACAGCAAAACGTTTACTTTAAGCCAATACACAAATCCAAACACATGTCACTGAGTTTTGTTGCTTAAGCTCCTTACTCAGAATTCAACGTTTTGAACAATTGTTGGGCCCGGAAACGGACCTCAATTATTGGCGAACGCCGCAGAGGACCCAATGGACAGACCGGAACTTGGGCCCCCAAATCATAAAAGTGGTTTTGTTTTCGGGGGAACATGTTCTTTATTAGGGGCCCCTGGGAAGGGGCGGGGTTATTATTAGAGGAAGGGATTATGAGGTGAGCGGGTGGTACAAGAATAAGCACTTTCTGGGTTGCCATACTCAAAACTTATCAGTCCGAAAACCTTAGAACAACTCCCCAGGCCTTCATCCTGCACCCGTCTTATTCTCGGATGGACAAAAAAACCAGATCCAAAAACGCCTGCCGTGGGGCTGGCGTACATGTGCAGGGTCAGCTGGCGGTCAGGGAACAAATTCTGCAGGGAACCTACAGCTGTCTCCAGCTGCGTCTGAGGGACCTGACGATTTCCGGCCAAGGGCTGCGGGGAATGGGTCTCAGGTTGCGCAAAAAGCCCGTGGGTACTGGATGGTCTCTCCTGCTGTGACAAAGAATCCTGAATGATTTGCTACTGCGGTCGGTTTGAGCTTGTGCCAAATGAAGCTGCACCGTTGCGAATTGCAAGACTTTATACAAATGGGTTTTGACGCACATTTTCACATTCATTTTCAGAAAGTTGATAGCCACTCTAAGCCGGCTTCTCTCACAAAAGGCGCAGTTGGGCCATATGAGAAGTGACACGGCGTGATGTTCGACCCCTGTGTTCAAACAAACTTGTCAGCTCCGCCACCACTTTGCTGTAAAACATGGTAGTGGCTCTGCCCAAAATTGGTAATTAGTGACTCTGCCCAAAATTCGTGGTAGCTCTGCCCAAAATTGGTAGTGACTTTGCCACAAATTGGCAGTGACTATGTCCACAACTAGTATGGAATAACGGCGCATCCCACACCCCCAGTCCGGTTAAGGAAGAGGGGTCATTTATTGATAGACGCGATGCCTAAAACATAGTGGATCGCACAAAATGGGTGGTGGTCTTTTGGTGTTTCTTCACAACAGGCCCAAGAGGAAGCTCAAGACAACTCTAATGGTTGATTCCCCATTCTTTTCAACCATCGTTCTTTCCAAACCCGGCTGGTTCCCCTGTTTTTTTTGTTGTTTTTGTTTTTATGGTTTCCTGAAAAGAAGGATCCCTGGAAAGAATGGGAATGGAAGGTACCCCTAGAACAGCACCCATAACACCCCTCCCGCCTTGTTGTCAAAGTCCCAAAAGACCAGCAAAGGCTCAGCTCCGCTCGACCGGCATGCAAGCCGCGGCAAGCGCGAGCGCCGCGGCGCGCATCCTGGGCTCAAGCGCATCCTGGGCCTCCTTGATGTGAAGCCAGAGATCTCTGGTGAGAATGATAACTAAGCAACTGCCATCCATGGCCACCTACCCCACAGTTCTCGCAGAAAGACACACTTTTGAGCATTTGTTGGTGGCACCCGTAGTGACTGAACACAAGTGGGCTGGCGTTCTTGTTGACAAGAGGGTACCCTGTGCTGTTTGGCTTGAAGGAAGCTTACAGGACAACCGCTCTTCTGGGGTCCCCCAAATACACACGTCAGAACCAAACCGCCCCGGGCCTGCGCACAGCAGCCCCACTCCAGACGCTTTCCACCCGGGAGCCCCGAAAAGCCGCGGGCGCGCCAGGCGCGGGGTCACCGGGAACGCGCATCTGTGCGCGGGGGAAACCCCCGGCACAGGCGCGTCGTACGGCGAAGCCGCAGGATTCATGGAGCGCCCAGAGAATGAGCATGTCAAGAGATGGACGCATGGTATAACTTTCCTCAAAAGCCGGAGGTAAACCTCAAGATTCGCTGTAGGTGTGAATTTTAATCTGCGCATGCTTTGGTGGACACGACTGAGACGGGGATTTCTCGCACATGGTCAGAAACTGCTATGTCTAGCTAGGAATGTCCCCTTAGCTTGCATTGGGTTGGCTCGCACAAGAGATCCCAACAGACAAACACCCAGTGCCTGAGATGGGCTGACTCTATTCAGAGGCGCAACATTCCGATGTCAGGTAGACTTGCACATGGCTGGCAGCTTTTTGGAGGCGTGCCCTTTTTCGGTGGTGGATTAAAGATCGCTAACCCTTGTTGTGGAAGGTCTCAAGGGAAACCAAAGCGAGAACCTGTTGCAAGGGGTCCCTGTTGGAGACCTGGCGCATTGCACGGCTGAGAGCTATGTTCCTCACTACGCCTATCCCAGCGCCAGTTCTCGAGCCAAAGGTCTGTAACAAACGAGCCCCCAAAGGGTCCAAATAGCTCCTGCCCAGACCCCCCGTGGAATGAGAAAACAAGGGCACCCGTTTGTTGGCACGGGCAAAGGAGGTCCACTGGATGCCTGGGTCTAAGCAAATAGACTCAAGGGATAGCAACCCACACATGCTTGGAAACAGCAGACCTGGACTCAAACTTGCTGAGAGATTCCGTCGTTCCTTCTGGCACTTGGTGTGTTTGTGTTGGTCCGAATCAATCTAAGCTAACTGGTCCGATCGGCGAGGATACCTGAGACGACAACCACTCCAAAGTCCAAACCATGATAGATCGTGGTGTGTGTGTGTGTCTTCAGGAAACCCTTTCCCTTGGTTTAAGGGGGACATCAACCGGAAAACCACCATTTTGGCGTCCGAATCCTAATTTGACACACAAACACCAACGGAGAATGACAGCGATTCGGGACTCTTGACACCAGGTTGCTCCCAAAGGCGCGGGGGCCATTCCCGGCCCTACCAACCCCAACTGGTGTTTTGACCCAAACTAGGAGTCCAGGTCCCTCATGCTCGCCGTCCCCTTCCCCGTGCACTTGGCTCGAAGGTGCGCCCAAAAGCGACTGGGCGAAGCATTCGACAGCTCTGGACGGCACTGAGCAAAAACCTCCTAAATGGGGGTCGGACTCTTTCTGGATTGGTCCGTGACAGCATCAAGCCTACTTTGGATGGACCAAATCCTGCACCACTAGGTGCTTTCGTAGTATTTATAGGGCTTCACCCATCCCAATTTTGCCCACCCACAGTAAAACTGCTCCTTCCACGCCCCCAAGACACAGTTCCAAGCTTTGGTCTACCTTAGTCTTCCCCGATGGGGTGCGTCTTGGTCGATCTCTTTATTGCGAATCAACAAAAAGGAAGCAAGGGCCCTTTGACTTGCGGATTTCATAGGTAGAGTGCTGAACTTTTATTTGCATGGTCTTGGTCAATATTCAGCCCTCAACCTAGGATTTACATGTTGTCTATCATCATGATCTTAGTGGAAAGCACACGTGTAACATGTTGCCAGCCGTCCCAAAAGTGCCGTTTTCCTCGACCGTGCCCCAAACCCCCAGCAGTGTTTGACCCGAGCGTGGCAACGCAGCATACACATACATCTAGACAAGCCACTAGATGAGTCAGAATCAAAACCTGGTACTGAAGAAGTCAACCCAAAACCCAGCAAAAAAGATCAACAGAGAGTCGGCACCTCTGCGTAGTTCTGGTTCGCACTGTGCTTTACTAGCCTTCCCCTACCCAGATTATAATTCTGCATCATGTGTGAACAGGCAACGTGTTACCTACACTTTGCAACACATACACATTTACCCAGTACTGCATGCGGGCCGTTCAGAGAACACCATTCAAACAAGCCGATTTCTGCCCGCAGTGGAAACAGCATCAAATATCAATGTCTTCACTCTGCTCTCTCCACAACGCTTGTTTTGGGAGAGCCTACATTTGAAACCAATGGGTTCCACACATGATTGTCCTTTGGTGCAAGCTGGAACCGGTGTATTCGAACTGGCTGCGCGTCCCCTGAATGTTAACATTCAATCAATTCACATCACTCGTTCCTACATATTCTGGGTGTGTTTTGTTTTAGGGGAACACAACAAATGTTGGTTTCCTTTTGGTTTTCTCTTTTAAGCCAACTAACAAGGGGTACCCTCAAACAAAGACGCACCCATATTCCTCAAGCAACCTATGGCATTCGACCATGTTCAGACCCCGCCGGCCTAGCAAATAGTTTCGTGGGAAGTGGTTTGCGCTAAGGGTGTCAGCCTTGCCACGGCAGGTCAGTGACAAAATAACTAAAGGGCAAGGGCAGGGCAAACTACACCCCTGTCACTTGCCGACTCAAATCGCGTTTCCACTTGACACTTTGGAGTGGGCGTGTCTTGTTTCTGTTCGGGAAGGCGTTCCAAGCTTCAAACAGCCATGCTGTGGCAAACGGTCTGCCCAACGCACAAGGAATGAGTAAGAGAAACCCCTGTGCCAAAAAAAGGAAGCTTGATCTTGCGACCCTTTCATTTGCCCCAACAAATCAACAAATCAGCCCCCACACCAAACATGTGACATAGCCTTCACCACCTTGCAAATCTCCCAACTTTGGCGCCTTTGGTTGAACACCTCCTGGTCTTCGGGGTGAGTCAATGGCTTTCGGTCACCCCTTCGGGCACTTCAAGGAACCTAAATGGAGGTCGCAAACTCCCGTTCACGGTGCTTCATGGTTCGCCGATCCTAGACTTCCCCAAGCCTTGCAGTGGTAGCAAAACAGAACGGCGTGTTTCGGAACCCCAAGGCCATCCCAGAATCAACATCTAAGCATCTGGTAGCAAAGGAGCCCAACAATGATGTAAGGAAGCAAAAACATGGTTAGGACGCTCCCCAGCCTTCAACCCAGGTTCTGATGAGCGTTCCCTATATTTCCCCTCTAAACATCACCCCCCCATTTAGAGAAAACTCCCTCTGGGTGGCCCGCTGCGGACTGAGGGCCTCCTCCATCCTGCGAGCGATGGTTCGGGTTCTTTAGGGTGGTTCTCCCAATTGGGGCCTCACCAAAACGACCGCCTAAAGCACACAGAAACCATATGCCCAGACGATGCTTCATATTTGGCATACCCTAAAAGGAGAACCCAGAAAACAGTGTCATGTTCATTCCCTTTAAAACCAACCTCGACCGACTTGTGTTGGTTTCCTGCTAGTTTCTCTAAAGCCAACTGATGTTGGAAACTCCCTTTACACTTGGCTGGGTCAACATAAGAAACGGGGAAGTTGTTGTAGTAGAGATCATCGAAGGATCCCGGTGTTTGATACAGTCCCAATTGGCTGTCAAATGTTGGGTTCATTGGAAAGCATATGAGGAGTGACCAACCATGATATGTTCATATGTGGGGATATGTGAAAAAAATCCCCCATCGCAAAACTCATCATGGTTTCTGGGTGCTGCTCTAGTTTGCTTGAATTCTTTGCGGCGTGCTGCCAGAACCATGCAAGAGACAACCCAGGGCTTCGGCTTCCGAGGCAAACCAGGAGTCTGTCAAACTCTAAGATCTAATTGTTCCCACTACTTTAGTTGATGAAGACACGTCATATGGTAGCATTTATATATTATTGAGTTGGAAAGGAAGCCAACATTGTATGTAATTATTGAAAACAACATCTGCGTATCTTTTCATAGAATAACATGGTTATAGCCATTCTATTGTAAGAATTTGATGGAATTTGGGAACTTGGGGCCCTCAAACTACTATCCCTACGCAAACAATGGGGTACGTACCCTTTCTACACTGAAGTATTTGTTCGGGGGGATACATGGGGAAGTAGCGGAAACTATCTTCGACAAAAGTCAGTACTTGCCTCTTGGATGACACAATTCCGACCCTGGACCTGCTTGACTTTAGTCGGGGCCAGTGTGCTCCACATTGAGGGAGTTGTATTCTAACAAGCTCTCGACGCTACTACTGTTGGGTGGCTTCCGGTTCAACCAAATTCTACAGAGTGTAGATGTTTGGATGTCATTTTCGTGGAATTGGACATACTGCATTCGCTACTTAGTCGCCCACAGAAGAAACCTTGCCGTGGTGGTCTGGCGGCCCAATAACTCGAAGTGCGCTTGTCTTACGGTGAGCATGCCATGGCTGCTGAACGAAATCGTGCGGCCTGCAGCAGTTAATAGGCACTTTGTTCCGCTATTCGTAGCATGTCCCTCGTCGCGGATGGCGCGAAACGCATTTTGACCATCAATGCTTGAGTTCGCCCAATGGCGCCAGGGAGCTTGCTGATCCTTGAGAAGCCCATGGCCGGGACCCGCTGGTGCGGCCCAGGGGGCGAGGTATGTTCCACCGGCGAGGGACTAAGGCCCCAGCCCATGGTATAATCAGTTAGGGGTCAAACATGCAAAATGGGTCCCTAGATTTGCGGGGGGGGACAAAAAACATCGCCGCATCCAAAGGAAACTGACTTTGAAAAGGAACCAAACGGTGATGTTCAAAACTACATAAAAGTTTTGAACAGGAATAGCTTCGGTTGGAGAACACCGGGGAGCCTGTCACTTTCCACGGTCCTGATCTGTCCAGGCGACTCCGCCTCCTCCTCACCTTCACCTGAGCGACTTTCATAGGCTATCATAGGGCTATAGCACCAGCGAACCTCTTTTGCGTTGACATGTATAGCCAAACCATTCGGAAGCCGACAGTAACTCGTCCCAATGTTGAACAATACTCCCCTGCAAAACACAAAAACAAACAAACATGGAACCCGAACAAGGTGGTGCACCCCGAAGAAAAAGTTGGTTCCAATGGTTCCATGACCTGATCTGCGGCACATCCCCAGCCAGGGTCCAATTTGAGGACTTTTTGCGGTCTTTGCAAGCAAGCAGCACAGTCCTTTGGCAGATTCAAGCCGGGTGCTGGCAGGCCTTCTTTGGGCCGTGTTCTCATTGACTCATTGACTCAATGGTCTCTATGGTGATCAGGTCCAACCAATCCAAACCAGCTTAAATCAGCGCCAGCCTTTCTTCTCCATGGCAAAATATTGACACCCAACGGGTCACGGGAAATGTACTTCAGGCTGCCACTGCTTGTGAGTGGCCAATTCATTCAACATATTGACGAACTAGTCATGAGGGGATGGTATTCCGGGTGGGTAATCGGCAAAACTTATCGTTTCAGCAGCTTGGGCTCCGCTTTCTTGAGCCCTAAGATGTTGATGGCTCGGGTGTCTTTCGCAGAGGCCTTGGACATCCCAAAGACTTGGCCGAAAATTGGTCACCTTGCTCCCACGCGGTGTGGTTTGGATGCCAGCCGTATCCCCATTTGGTCTCAGCACGGGTTCAAATCTCCAAACCACCAATCCAAACCACCCACTCAATAGCTCAACGACTCTTCAAGGGGGTCCCTTTTGCATCAGGGAGAATCTATGTCAAAATGGGGCCTGTGTCAGGGTTGCTCAGAGTTCCTATTCGATCATCCGATCCGCCATGCATGCCAAAGCACATAAAGTTTGTAAATAGGTTCACAGAGTCGCAACACTTTCTTCCTGAAGTAATTGTCGTGGCCCTTGCAGGGGGTGTTCGTGGGATCAGGATACCCTTCAAGTTGCAACCTGCCGAAAGTTGTTGCAGGCCAACAGCTGCACAAACGCAGCTGAGTCTTTTTCGTTTGAAGCGAAGCACACTCTTGTTGTTCGCAACTTCCCTATTTCTTCCCTCAATCCAACGGCAACCCCTAAAACATTGGGCAAATCCACTCAGCAAATCGATCATGAATCAAGTCATCTCCTCTCTGAGATAACCCTAGAACCAACGTTGGGCCAAACCCAAGTGGCCCGCCTGGGTTGCCGCTCTCGCCGCTGAGGATCTGCTGCATCAGGATCTTTACCTTGGCCTGGCAGATCGGCTTCCTGCCAGTCCCAAAGGCTGCGGTTGCTGATTTCCGGGTGTTTTTTGGCCATGTCCCGAAGATTTTCCCGACCCTCTGACAGTCGCGAGGTCGCGCCCCTTTGGGCCGTGCGAAACCAAACGGAAGCTAGCCGTTTCGCAGGCTCCCAGATTGTAAGACAGATACAATAGACCACCAAGAAGGTGAAAAGGGTAAAGAATACTTGCCCCCTAAATAGCAAATGGAACCCGAAAGGCAGCGGTACCTCAAAAGGAGACTCTTCTAAGAATTGTGTTCTTGATCTGTTTTGACCTGATTGAAGGGAAACCAGGAACCTGAGCAATCGGGATTTTTTGAGTTGGTTCCAAAGGTATTGACACTCTTGGCGGCATTTTCCAAACAGAAAGGGGATTGGGGAATCCCCCACTGCGAATCCCCCCGAATTTTAGATGCTAAGAACTTGGAGCCATTTGATCCAAGCACTATCACCATGCCGAAGTCGGAGCACATCGACCAATTCTTTGAAAGGTTCAGCAAAGCGCCGATATTCCGGTCGAGGCCCTGTGGAGCAATAAGAGAAATATGGTCTGATAACAGTGACATAATGAGAGCAGGAAAACGTAAAGGATGATACTAGGTAAGAGCTAACACTGGCATACAAAGCATCATGCGGGCATCTCCATGCATCAAGACACTAGATTGTGACCATGAGACATCCATCATTCTAAGCATACATGTTACTCTTTGTCTTGCTCTTGTTTTCTTTGAATTGAACACTTGCCTCAGCATCTCAGCTTTAGTTGGAAAAGTCGGGCCTAGCCCTCGCCTGGTCATGGCCAATATTGAGTTTCGAGACTGAGAGAGCCCATGACCGTGAAAAGCAGACCTGAAAGGATCGGCTGCCATGAACTACGCCGAATCATGGTACTCAATGTGGAGCATACGACACAAACTAGAAAAATCATCATGTTTGGCGCTCGCCCATACCACATAAAGGAGCAACTAACAAATAATTTGAAATATTATTCAACCAATAGCTGCAATGGTAACTCCGGATTGAACCGGAGCAGCATACAAAGCAAACGTGGCTCCGCTTTTGGTACGCAAACAACACACGCACGCAAAGTATGTTAGACTCGTCTGAGTACGGTCCTCCAGATTCATCCGATGTTAAGATTGGATAATTTAAATCGCATTCTTACTGGGTGTTAAGTAGGGGTCTTGGAAAATCCAAGAAACCATATCTATCCCTTTGAGTTTCCTTTTGAGGCAAATTAGCACCCAGGCTTGAGCTGCTCACCGTGGGCAACTTCCGTGCCTGACGCTCCGTCTTCGGAAGCTTCAAGAAGTGGTCGTGCCTGCTGAACGGCGAAACGAGCGACGGAACGAGTCTCAAGCAAATGAGTGGCTACCAGAGGAGTCTTCCGGCCCTACCAAAAACAACCCTTCATTTTGGGTATGTGATCTCATTTGTGTGGCGACTTCAGGTTGTCAGGTAGTCGTGAACCAGATGGATAAAGAAAACCAGCGCCCAAAGTCCATTGTGAACGAGGGATTGTGATTGTTTTGGGATACCATTTTAAGATTGGATTGACGGAAAGACAAGATGAAAACCGTCACGTTGTTGTTGGGGCAATTTTGAGACATACCCAGGTTGAGTTAGGTGCACCTGGTAGTGTGGATGGAAAACATCCGATGCGCACCAGTTTGAACGGATGAACCCCTTAGTTGGATAAACCACCTGGCAACTGGTCAAGGATTTTGTCCATCCACAGTATCGTGGTGTCATCTCCTCGCGAAGCATGCCCTTACGGACTTTGGTCAACAAAAAAATCCAGAACAAGCGCATTATAAAAAACCCGACACACCATCCTACAACTCAAAGTCAGTTGCTCCCCGCGCCGGTTTCTCAACATTGGAGGGAAGCCCCTCAGCTGGATTGCGGGTGTCCTGCCGGTTTCCTTTACAACCGCCCAGAATAGGGTCATCCCCAAACATAAATGCTTGCTTTGGGTATTTCCTGCAACGACAATCTCCGAATTCGGGGACTTATAACATGCTTGGCGCTTGGTTTCCCTGTACTAAAAAAGTAAACAGGCTTGGCACGCTGACCCATTCCAACGGCAACTCGGCAAAGCAGCTCCAAGAATAAAACATGCCCGGCTCCACTGGAGGGACACCGCTTGCACGTAGGGAACCAGCTCCTGCACCGGGCATTGCAGGCGGGTTGGCCTTCAGAGGCTTCAGTTATTTCATGATTTTGGGCAGTCTGTAGTGGAGTTATACATATATATATATATATATATGTGGATGGTGTCACTGTTAGATACATGCATACATATCATACTATACTATATCTATATGTATGTGTGCATGGTCTCACTATTAGATATTATATATGTCTATATACATGTAGGCATAGGTGCGACGCCCTGCCACACTCCACCCTTGGCACTGCTAATGCCAGGGCAACGGCTGGGAGCTGGTGGGTGGCCACCATGCGTATGTGCATGTGTATATACCTGTCGATCTTTGAATTGCATGTATATATAAGGGTGCCATTCCATCAGCGCCGGCCCTTTGCAGTCTCGGCACACAATACCGCAAACACGAATAACCGCGCAGCCATTCCCTCGAATGCAGCTGGCAGCGCTACGTGCGCCTTGTTTGACAAGTTGCCTGAGGCGCTGCGCGCCGACGATGCATGAAAACTGCAAGACTTCGCAAAGCGGCTACAGCCGCCGCTACAGATCCTGCCACCACCCACCCCCGCACGCAGTCTTCTGCGCTGACTGCGTCAGCACTGCACGGCGCCGCCTGGGGCTGCCCTAGACAAAGCGCTCACTGAAACTGCCGAACGCCGCCGACATTGCCTGGCTCACCGAGCAGAGGACTTCGCAACAGCCTCCAAGACTTTCGCTGACGCCAACAACACAAAGTTGGCTTCTCCTAAACCAGGGCCAAAGCGTTCCCAATCTTCTCAGGCTGCCCTGCTGCAGACAGACACTGCGCACGGACAACAAACCCCCATGCTCCGCACTTCCGCAGTGGCTGGGTCCTGGGTCACGACAGCCACCCGGAAAACCTGGTTGCTTCCCAGCAATCCAACGCGCCAACGCTCTACCCCGACAAGCTTAAGCATATGCCCCCTGCTTCACTTGCCCGTCTGCAGCTGCTTCCCAAGCGTTCTTGCTCTCCCCGAGCATGCATGCAAGGACAAGGCCCCAGCTCGCAAGCCTAAACACTGGCCCATGCTGGTCTCAAGCTGTCCGTCATCTCAAGCCAAAAGCATCCTTGCCGCATGCCTTATACCACCAGTGTGTTCATGCAAGCCTCCGTGCGCAAGCCTTCGGGCCCAGCCACAGCGCACTACTCTTCACGGGCGCTCCGCTCACAAGATTGAAGGAAGCAGGCCCTGACAAGACCGCAGCAGCCAAGCCACAATATCCCCAGAGCTTCGGCCCACGCATCAAAAACCATCACCGACTTCGCGGCAACAGGCCGGGCAAACATCACTGTCTCGAAGCTGGGCTCGCTGCAGTGCGCCGTCAAGCTGCTGCTTCCTCAAAGTTGCCAGTCAGCGCTGGTCAGCACTTCACTTCTGCCGGCGCGTAGCTCCACCGCTGCTGCCCGCCCGGTTTGCGTCAGCACCAGAACCGCTCCAGCAAGTAATGCACCACTGCTGCAAAGCCTCCCTCAGCCCCGCGCATGGGTGTCCTTCCGGAAACCTCTGCATCTGGATCCAAAGGCCTTTCCAGCCTAAGAGCTGTTGCCAGATCGCCCGACGCCGCCTGCAACAACTTCGAACCATCGCCATCAAATCCCCAACCCTGCCGCTCGCTGCCAGGCATCTCTCATGGACCACAAGCTGCCTCAGCGCATCCTCTGGTGCTCCTTCCATATGGCGAACTCAGACTCTGCCAGCACATCCTCGCCGGTTGCGGAGTCGACCCATCGCGCGCGAATAAACTGCCTGAAAACTGGAGCCACACCCTGCAGAAGGCTTGTGACAAGGAACCCGCACAGCATCGGCGACCCACTCAACATGTTGCAGTAAGAGGCAAAGCTTACTTGTTCAGAAAGCAGGGCACACCTGTTGTTGACACTTCTGTGGGGAATGGGTGTGGGTCAAAAATGGGTACCCATAACAGAATGCTGGTAGATGGAAACATGGACCAAAACCCGCGGTCCCCTGGTGGTTCAATTTTGACCCATACCCAAATGCACAAAGAAACATGGATGCCAATGGGCAGCTCGAAAGGAAACTAGGCAACCGCCGAATTCAAGGATACAAGTGAGCGGCATGGCGCAGAAACAGCGAAGGAAGGAAACCAAAGGCCAACCCAGGAAAGGCTTGTAGAGCTTTCTTCAAACGGCTGTGGGGCAAAAATGGGTACTCAAAATGGATCCCTGGTAAATGGAACCAAGGACAACAACCGGCAGTTTTCTGGTCTAATTTTGACCCAGAGCCAAATGGCTTCTTAGCAGGGGTTTGAGAACCTTTCTAGGGGGGAAGGGATCCTAGTCCTTCTCCTTACGGTTCAGGTCCGCGACAAGTCGAAATGCACAGGCACCCTCAAGCATTTAGAATACTCGGCACGGGTCTGATCCTGCGCGGACCCCTTTCCCCTTGACCAGTCAAGCAACAGGCAAGGACGAAACACCATCCAGCTGACTGAACCGCCTGCCAGCAAGTTGAAAGGGGCCAGAATTCAAAGGTAGACATCTTTCTAAAGCCATCTGAAGAATCACAAAGAATCCAAATCGAATGCGCTCCTGCTCATAGTTCGGACTGAACCACATGATGGATGCTTCTCTCTTGGTTTTCCTTTCAAACATTCCCCCTTGAGTTCCTTGTGAACCAACCCCAAAAGTGCGCCAAAAGGAAAGTCCAGTCCAGCCCGCTGAAGGACCGGGCCTGCTGTAGCTCCCAGGTGTCGCACCTGAGGAAAGGAGAGTAGTGCCACTGTTACTCCATCATACCCGAACTAAAATCTGCCATAGGCGATTGGGACAAATTTGTCCCGACACTCATACCTTAGACAGGCTGCCCTTGGAAACCTGGCTGCTTGCAACTGTAGGGAAGTAGCTTGGGGAAACTCGTGGACAAGGAAGAACACCAGTTGCGCTCATGACTCATAACCAATATTTCTAGACGCATGATCGTCCGCTTTTCCTTTCGAGAAATCTGCCGATAGATCTCCAGCCACGGAGAAATGAGCCGACCTCGTCTTTAATCCTGGTTCCACATGCTCATTGTTTCAGCGACCTCTTTGACTTGAAGAACACGTACCATGCGATGCCTTCCTCCAGTGACAGAAGGCACCTGCAAAGATCAATCTCCCTTGGGAAGGAACCCTTGTCACGTGCCACGTTTGTAAGAGGAAGAGCGTTTCTTCAACAACAACTCCTTTGGGCTTTTCAAAAGATCGTTCACCAACAATGACAGTGTGGGGCGAACCCCTTGAATCATGTTGAACAGTCAAAAAGACATCGCCTCTCCGGGTGTCAGGCATGGGCTCCAACAGGAGGTCGCTGGCCTGAACAGACTCCCCGGACGGACTCCCGAAACCCGGAGACCCGTCGGGACCCGAAAGGTTCCATGTTAGGTGAAAGGTCGAAGCAACACAATCAAGAAACGAAGAGGAACACAGCAAACCGGCCCCCTCTTCAAGGCCAAAGGACCGGCACCTGGGCCCAAACGGAGTCAAACGGCCAACAGATCGGCTTTGGGCAAGTCTATCCTGGATCACCTCTGTTGCATGTTCAAGCATGGAACTGGAACCAGCATGTGCCATCTATCCTCAGCTCCCTTCTAGTCGTTTGGATTGGTGGAAAGGAGGCTGTATTGGGAAGCTTCCCACTTTCCCTCAAAGCCATTCAAAACCCCCACTCCAAACTACCAAGGGGTGCTTGACATCCTACCTAATCCCAAAGACACAGGTGCCAGTTCGGAGCCCTCAAGGCGCCAACGAGGCATGCCCTTTGCAATCCGGGGCCAGTCACAGGGTCTGTCATGGTCTGTCTCTCAACAGCCGTTTTTCACCCTGTCGCCTCGTGCCTATTGACGGGATACCGAAAAGGGCCCCCTTCCCCGGTCCAACATCAGGGAGCATGCCGACACGTCCAGCAAGCTCTAGATTGCTCAAGTGTCCAGTCTGCAAAGCTCACCAACACATCCCCACTACCTTGCTGGAAGGCTAGGAGGACTTCTCCGAAGTGGTCCTCTCTTATTGTTATCAACTTGCAGCTCGCACATGCGAGAGCACTGGCCATCCTCATCACGCTGGGCTTACCTGCCTACCGCCATGGGCGGAAAACACATGAAACGGTCTTGGAGTTCATGTCTTAGGCCGGGATCGGAAGATCAACCAGTGTTTGCAAGATGTCCGTTCCCCTCGTGCCACTTGTGTCATCTTCTGTGTAAGGGTTGGGAGAGAGCAATGCAAGCCACAATGTTCTATACATATATTATGTGTATTATGTATATATTTGTACATGTATGTCCAGGACATCAACCACTTTTGGAAGTGTCCTTCCAATTTGTTGATACCCCACTCGCCAAAGATGCGCAATCCGCTTGCCTCCAGGCATATAATAAAGACGCCATCTTCGCCTGCACGTGACGCAGGGCACCACAGCCGGGATCTATCATGTTCTTTTAAACACAGATTCCCCTGTTGGCTTGCTTTGAGAAAATCAATGTGGACAACAACAACAACAACAACACCGTCGTTCTTTTGGGGAAATCAAACCATACGGCCAATTTGGCACCCAGCAAAACGTACATACATATGAATGGCCAATGTCCAGGATACCATGAGCGACGTGACACAACAGGAACATAATATGTTGCTGTGTGTTCTGCCAGTCTGCCGGAATGGGGACACATGAACATCAAAGTACTGTGTTCCTGCACTAGCCTCTGCCTCAAAGAATCTAACTTCATGGAGTCTCTTTTGGCTCTGCGGAGTCCAACAAGGCATGCAACAACGCGTCTTTACAGTACTACTTTAGGCCTCCATGCTTTCCAACAGGCAGTCATCGGCACACAAATCGCTTCTTCGAGCCAGGTACGCTATCACCCTGCATACAAAGCTAGGGCATGTCCTTCGTGTTACAGACCCCGCTTTTCGTTGCTTTTTCAGGCAAGCAAAAAGGAACCCGACCATTCTAATTATAGGGGTCCATATGGGTATGTGCCAAAATCGCCAGACCTCAACACTGGTGCTTTCTCTTTTGGCTTCCCTTCAGGTAAACAAAGCTCAACAAAACACAAACCCCAACATCCCGAGATCGAGAACTGGCTGAAAGCAAGCGGACGAGAACCCGCCTCCGGAGCCCGCCATGGCATGGCGAGCGTCGTTGGGAATGGTGGGCCGTACGGTGCCCCAGAAAGACCCGTGCGTCGAGAAATTGAAGTCACACCCCGATAGATCAACTACACTCATCAGGAGTATGATCGAATATCGAAGCTACTGTTTTCGAATGATAACAGATGCTTGATTCATTGGAAATTGATTGGTTCGTCTGGCCATCGACCCGGACCCAATATGTCTATCCTTTGACACCTCCCCAGCAAAACCTGGTAAGCTGGTCTACCGAAGAGCAGGCAAAGAAGTAAGAGGGCGGATCTCCGCGCCAATTCCCGGTGTGGAGTGTCTGCTAGTCTACAAGCCCCTGGCGTTTGGCTCTAGAGCCCAAGGATCTGGTCAATCTTGTCGCGCCCGGTTTGACTTGCGGCGGTAGCCAACTCAGTTGCGAAGGTTCATGTTGACCATCTGGTGGCCTGGGCTGCTGACATGGCCGAGCTGGGAGCCAAGATGCAGCACGATGAATTCTAGCTTCCCTTAAACCAACCTGAAAAGGTTACCCTCAAAAAGCACATACCCCTTGGGCCTCTTCCATTATTCACCCATATACCCACATATTTAGAGAAGGCGGGTTTTGGATGTATTCTTTGCAACCCTGCCGGGACCCTGCAAATTCAAAGGCCGATCCCCAAACAGCCACCGGGAACCCTGAAAGACGCGGTCCAGAGGATCTGAACCTGGGGCAAATGCACCCCTCATGCTATCTATTCCGGAGATGGAGTCAGTGCAAACCGAAGCAACAAGCATGGAGATATCCATTTCCGTGGCACCAAATTCGGCCGCTATACACTGTCACAAAGGGAAGGCCCTGGCCCCCTCCTACCAATTTCCCACAGCTATAGCCAAGGTTGGACCCATGATCCCAGGCTCAGGCTTCTTCTTGGGGATTCGATCTCTGCCCTCTTTCCCACAACATCCCAACCATGGCTACAACCGGGGTGCCCACAATTCCCTTTTCAGCCTGTTTGAACATCACATGTTGGCCACGGTTAGATGAGTCTTGGTGCCCCATGTTTGAGGGAGAAGTGCACCCTGCAGGGCACTTCCCATCCGGTCGCGAGCTCTTGTTTCCCAGCGCGCGTCAAAGCTGGGCCTGGGCCGGCGAGATGCGTGGAGCCAAGCAACATCTGGGCTGTGTCTGTTCTTGACCGTACCCCTTCTTTTGTGGTTTTAAAGGAAAACCAAAGGGAAAGCTAACGTTTCTGCCTCTTCTGAGGGGGGGCGGATCCCTGCAAAAAAAAAACACCCCAAAAGTTCGGTCAGTCTCCGGAGTCGCCGGGGAGGTGTTGGGACCAACAGAAAGTCCAACATGTTGCAGCTTCCAGCGGCGAGCCCTCACTATGAGTCTTCCTGAACATCATTGAATCCGCCGACCCCATGCCTCCAGAATGGACCATGCTTTTGGCATCGGGGGCGGCGTGTTCTGTGTTGATTTTGCTTTCTCTGGTTTCTCTAAGTCTGATGTATGTGTATAATATATGTCCCTTGGGACGGCAAAATACGTCGGCTCTATTTCTGGGTTTCTGGATTCCTGGATTCCTGGACTTCTGGATTCTTGAATTTCCTGCATTCCTGGAATTCTGATTCCCCCTCCTCCGCTACCTGTCCTCCTTCCCCCGCCCATCCCCTGTCAATGCAGGTGTTGGTGTAGGTGCAAGTGCAAGTTCGAGCCTGTATCGCTGCATGTGCGTGTGTCTCGCTGGGCCTCTGCCTGGGTCTCAGCCGGTGTTTCAGTCTGTGTGCGTTTGCGTTTGTGTCTCCGCCTTTGTGCGTGCACGTGTGCGTTTGCGAGTCTGTGGTTGTGTCTCCGTCTCTGTTTGTGCGTGAGTCTATGTTTCTGTCTCTGTCCCTGTCTGTGGCTGCGTTTCTGTTACACCTGCGTGCCGGTCTCCGCTGTGTCTGTCTGTGTCTGTCTGTGTCTGCCTGCGGGTCTGCATCTGTCCGCGTGTATGCGGACGGGTATGTGCACGTAAGTTAGGTGCGTGGTCTTGGTGTCAGTGTGTGCGTGTGTCTTGTATGTACACGTGCCCCTCTCTGTGCATGTGCATGCCTATGTGTATGTCACGTGTACGTGTGTACGTGTGTACGTGTGCGCGTGCCTGTCTCTGTCTCAAGTCCGCTTATAAGGACCGCCATGCAATCATAATTGTCTGAGAGCTTTTGAAGTTGTGAATCATGCTCATCATAATACGTTGAAGCTAAACCAGGTTCACCAAACATAAAATGACCTTGACACTGAAGCGTGCTATCGATTAAACCCAGTGAACTGTATTGACACAGTATGTGGTTGACATGTGTTAGAGTTGATTCATGTCGTGCCAGTGTTGGTCATCTTTATTAACACATATGGTTTCAGGTTGATGCTTTAAATGTTGAAAGTGCATATATATATATATTACAAATGGGTAATACAAAGTCAATCATACAGGGATGCCGTTCAACATGTTTACCCATGTGTTATTTTACAATATTCATGAGGTGGTTTAGAGAGTTGGCCCGCTTTTTTTGTTGACCTTCCAATCACTAACCAAACCACAATAAGAGAAACACGACTTTTGTTAACTTGGGGAGAGGGAGATGGTGTGAGCGAACATATTGGGAATGGTAGGCTTCGCCGACATTCCTTGAGATCGCGGTTGAACTGTGAATCAATTAGCCAACTCTGATCAAACAACGCTGGGAGCATGCAAACACCGCTGCCCCTTCGGTACTCTTCAAACTCGACTCAGCATTTTGGGGCTCGGTTGCTCATGAAGATCATATGCACCAGCATGTTTCAGCTTGTCTCCCATTGTTGAACGACAAGCGTGCCGTGTCCAACTCCGGGCCAAAGCTGCACGGACGAAACCCGACAGTTGCAAATGCTCATGTGTTCGGCATGGTGCTCTGAGATGTGGCTTCCCAACATACGGACACCCCCCCAACCCCCCAAAAAACACACTTGATTTCCGCTCGGTTCCCTGCAACAGCAAGCCATGCCCCTTATCTCAGGACCGCGTCGCGAGACACAGGATTCAGAGGACGAGTCATGAATGGCCATATCCCTTGCGAGCCCTGGCCTGCGAGCGGATCACTCTTGATTGGTTCTGAAAGGAAAGAAAGGCAAATTGAATATAAGCAAAGTGCAGCAAGTTTTAGGAAGCACTGGAATTCTTAAGCAGTGGACTACAAAATCGGAAAGGAGACTGGAGGCAAGTCATAGGAACGTAGGAAGCACTCACCTCCAGTCTCAAGAACAGTTCATGACGAAGCAGATGAGTGCGGTCGCACGCTGAAACCTCGCCGCCATGTACTCTCTTTCAATTTTGGGCAGCCGCAAGTCTACAGCAGAGTAATCTGCACAACGCAACGTGAGTCTGCCCCCGAAGAACTACACGCAAACTTAAGAGTCAGTGCAATCTTGGAACCAAGGAGGAATCTGCATGGGACACAGCGCGTTCAGGAAGTCAAACAAGTCAGTGCACCAATTTGGAAATCCCAATGGAGACGCACGTATCAACATGTAAAGTAAACAAATGCAGGACGCGTGTCTGTTAAGCAACTGTTTCAGGTTACATGGACTCTGCTTTGAAACATGAATGCACTTTGCAGAATGAAACCACATGAAAGGTTTTGTCAGATTTGGTGCACTTGGATTTAAGTGCGGCGATAGAAAATACAGCTAATGGCTTGATTTCTCCTGACAAGGCTAGGCAGAAACAAAGGTGGCGCAAACTCCTGATTTGTAAGGCAAGTCGAACGAGGTAGTGAACGAGGTGGTGAACGAGGTGGTGAACGAGGTCCAACTCGTCTTGAAAAGGGCGTGGTTGCTTTGACAACCGCCAATGCTTTACGAAAAAGAAGAAAGAGCAGCTGCGCAAGGAAAGTGCAGACCGGTGCCGGCAGAGCTGCGCAAGCAGAGCAAACATTGAATCCCAATGGGAGTCGCGCATCCAGCATTCAACGATTCCGGCGTTTGCTTGGGATACTAATCCAAGATCCGAACAACAACATGTGAAACACAACGTTGTTGTCGTCAAGCAAGCACTATACTCACACAAGCAAAGACTTGCAAAACCAAACCAAACCTCACTACACATGTTGTCGTCAAGCACCATACTCGCACAAGCAAAGACTTGCTTGTACCAAACAGGGATCCTTACAATATACACCTGAACATTGCCTTGTAAATGGTGGTTTCCCTTTATTCTGGTGGAAAAAACAACATGTTTCAAATGGTTGCAAAATGTATCTTTTGAGGAGCCCTGACAAACCAAGCCTGAAGCCCTGCGACTCTGCGACCCTTTTCCAAACTCCACTCGGCTGAGCCAGCGGCTTGCTGCGCGGCGGCCTGTCGCGCTCGGATGCAGCTAGCTGCGGTCACAGGCAGCGAATGGCCAATGTGCGAAATCTGCAAACCACTGCTAAAAGTGACTAACTTGTAGTGTTTTAATACGGAAAACCCAGTAGTTGGCCAAAAGTTAAAGTCCTAACATCCCTTGGCAAAATGCAACAATGATGTCTTGGAACAATCCATGTGATAGCCGCGTGCTGGTCTTGTCTTGATCGGAAAGGGGAGGCTCAAATTTGTCCGCTGGACCCAACTGGGGGTTCAAAACTTGGGTCGAAACCTTCCCATGGCTCGCCTGCGCTTCAGGCAGCTGGGCCATGCCTGACGACCGAAGGGTAAACAAAAACCGAGTTTGGTTCCAAAGTGGGCGGCGTTTTGGATTGGAACCTGCCCAGTTCGGCAGTCAGGAATGGGTGTGGCGATTGTTAGGGCCTTCTGGTCGCGGGGGGTTGTCCAAAGGGAATTGTAAACGGGACTCACCATATTTCTTGGGCCCCCGATTTACAGAAAAGACCAATTGGGCCATGAAATGAGTGCCTGTGTGAAAAAGGGGCGCGCTGACCACATGACCAGTGGTAGACTGGTAGACCATAGTTAAAAGGGCAGTGGTACAGGGCATTTAAGGTAACGGGGCGCCCGAGTGTTCGTTCCATCAATTTGTGGTCTCTGCAAAACAAAATAATCACGTGGGATAACCCCTCCGCACATGCTTTTCTTTCCACCGAGGGAACATCTGAAGGGACTATTGCTATTTCCCCGCCTTAGATACTTCGGGGAGATAGTGGCACCATGCCCTCCCCCAACTTCAGCATGTTCCCAAAATGGTCCTTTCAACTTGATTCGAAATAGTTTTTAGTCGGTGGCCATTGGACAGCATGACCTTTTGGCGGATCAAACAGAAGCATTTTAGGAGGGAAACCAAGTCAAAGTGTCCCGAAGACCCCAAAGAGTTGGACGCTCGCCACATTCCGCAAGCTATGTCACGAAACTACGAACATTCAGGCGCACACGAGTAAGGGTGCCAGACGACTTGGACACTTTCAACCCCTGCAAATCAAGGGGCACCCCAAAAAGGAGATTGGCCTGAAATGGGACGGCTTTGGGCCATGTCAATTTGCAAAGCCTCACAATTCGCAACCAGCATGTGCTACATCCCCTACGGCACTTCTTTTCTCAAAGAGGCGAAACCGGCAGGATCAGGCGGCGCGTCCTTTGGCCATCCGCCTTGCAGGGTGATCGATTTGGGTTTGCACTTTCGAGGTTCTTTTATGTTGACACCACGTGACGTGATTTCCATCTGGCAAGAAATGGTTTGGGGATGCGCGGGCCTCGGCTTCAGGCTCTAGAGTTGAGTTTAGGGTTAGTTCAGGTTGGCTTGGGAGTGGTGAGTTTGCGAGTTTAGGGTTGATTGAGGGTGGGATAAGGGTGGGTCAGGGTTTGGAATTTGGAAGATGAGGGAGTAAACTGCTGGGCTGGCCTAGGGGAAAGTTCAGCTTTTCACAGGAGCACACGAGGCAAGCACGGGACACAGCCGCAAACGTTGTGCGACGTGGGAATCACAATTGAGCCCATGGAAAATGGGTATGGCGCCAGAAGCCATTTTGAGGCTGTGCTCAGCCACGTGAAACAGGCATGCATCACCGGCGTCCTGGTGTCTGGGGGGATTGAAGCGCCTTCGCTTTGGCCCGGCTAGGAGTGAAATCGCGCAACTCCGCACCGGCGCGAAAGGCATGAAGCCAAAAGTCCTCCAGAACAGCGAAAGCTTTGCCTGGCACCCAACCATCATGCGCGGACCCTGCCTTGCTTGGTTGCTAGCAGTGGCTGTTGGCACGCGCTTTGTGCATCGGGAGACAGTAGGTGCTGCCAGGCAAGCTGGCAAAATCCGGAGGTCTATTCCTCGAAGTCTATCAGGAAGGTGTACACCGCGCCGAACGCACTCATCCACACCGCAGCAAACCCAATGCCTCTTCTGTCTGGGGCCAGGGCGATTCCTTTGGACAGCTGCTGTATGCGTTGGTAGTAGAGATATGTGGCGTACAAAACAAATGTCATCGAAAACGCTAGGGAGATAAGGTGCAGGGTCTGCGAGACCCGGCGGCTGGAAACAATCACTGATCCAAAGGGCACCGTGGAAATCGCGAACCACTTCAACGTGAGGTTCTCGATCTTGAGGATCGTCCGCGGGTCAATGCGAACTGCCACCGGCTCTCCGCTTTCCGAGTACAGATCTATGGGAATCGAGATGCTCGCGTGGAACCACTCTGGCACAAACTTGATTTGATTCTTGCACAAAGCGGCAACAGCATACAGGTACTTGGAAATATCGAGTTCTGACAAATTGTGGTCCTTCACGAGCTGCTGCAACCAATCAGGTATTGGCGGGTTGGGGTCTTCCTCAGTCTGTATCTTGATTTCCACAATGGCTAACGTGTAAGCCACAGCTTCACGGTGAAACATCGAGAGGGGAAGGGGCTTCTCTTGAAAATGCCAATTTGCGGTCTTGTCCTCGCACAGAGCTTCGAAGTCTAGGTCAATGGTAACACGCAGCGATGGGTCGTCAGGAGCTTGGAAGCAAATTCGGCGAGAGGCGGTTCTCATCACTGGCTTGAGGTTTTGTCGCCTCACACTGGCTTGAAAACTCTCCATGAATCGAGCTTTGTCTCCACCTCTCAGAGAATGCTGGCCTTTCAACACCTCCGGTAAGGAGTTTCGTTCGAAATGGGAGCGTGTTTTGCAGCTGGGCTGGTGAGAGAAGATGTTCTTGGACACCTTCGTCTCGGCGTAGAAGTGATCTGGATCACTGGAACCATACCAGCGCAACCTCAGAAGCGTTGCTCCATCCCCTGTTTGGGAGGCCTTCTTGTGGTACAGCTGCCAATCCTCGGAGTCCAGGTAGATGCTGTGGATGTCCGCGAAGGCCTCGTCGCCCTTGAAGATGTCGATGGGCAGCTTCCGCGCCAGCGCGCACATGAAGTCGATGCACTCCTCCGGCTTCATCACGAACTTGTAGCTCTTCCGTGCGAAGCTCGACAACGTCCGCCGCGTTCCTGCACGTTTTTGGAAAATCGTTTTACCGATTCCACCGAAGAGGTTGAAGGGGAACCCCGGCTGACCTTGAACCCCAGAAACTAGCAAACGAATCTTGGCTGCTGCTGACCCCCCTGCAAAACCCCTTGATTTCCCAAAAAATAAAGTCTAAAGGTCCAACCCAATAGCAGTCAAGGAATAACCCAACGACCCGAGTTCCTTCGAACTTTGTGGCGCCGGCCAACTGCTGCAGCTTCTCGCCAGCGCCGGAAGCAGTCAGAAAGGGCACTGCTGGCCGCAACGACTCGGAAGCCTCATCATGCCCAAGTCAAGGGTTCCTCTTCCCACGCAAACAAACAACCACCCGTGTTTTGCACATGCTGAAAAACCCGCCAAACCCCCCAACACCAACAGAAATACGTAAGACCCTCCAGATTCTGTGGAAGGCGCGGCCAGGTTGAAGGGCGTGCGCTTGGCGCGCTCCGCTAACTTGAGGAAGCTGCCGCGCGCTTGTCGGCTGAACCTCCAAGCCTTGCAGAGGCCTGCCGGCCCAGGCTGCGCTAACCTCGGAACAGGGTCGAAATTCGGACGGGAGAAAAACGTTGGGAGAGTCGTGGAGGGCCTGGCTTGCGGAAACTTGGCGTGTTTGACCCACCGGCTTTTTTTCTTCGTTCCCCAAATGAGAAAATTGGGCGGGCCTTTACTTTGTGAAGCAACGCCAAGGGGGTGCCCTCCAAAAAACAAGGGCTAGTCCGTGAGGGTGATTTTGAGGGTGTGCCTTTTCAGAGTTGGTCAGGCATGCTTGAAAGGAAAACCACCGGGGGTTGCGCAAAATGTGTTAACAAACCAGATTCAAACAATCGTGGGCCAACAAAGTTTAGAACAAGCGGCTGGCCCAACACAGAAAATTACATGTCCCCCACGCCTCCTCAATGTAAACGGGGAAAAGGGAAAGGGCACCAATCCAACGCTCTTGAAGGGGTGTCGACCCCTGCTTGCCTCCCTGCCTGCTTGCCTGCCTCTCTTTGTCTGTCTGTGACTGGGTTTCCGGAATTACATCCTCCCAACTATACTATGTGAATGCTTGGTGGGGCCGGTAGTTTGTGTCGCACTTGCCAACCAGAAAAGAAAACCATGACAGTGCGAAGAAACAAATCAAAGTGTCTGATCCATTTATGCTCCAAATGGAGGATTAAAAGGACAATTGATGTTTGGGGCGAGGGATCTACTTTATTACCTTCCCCCTAATGGTCTGTATATATATATTATTACATATGGGTATGGGTTAAAATTAAACCACCAGGGGACCACAGGTTTTAGTCCTTGTTTCCATCCACTGGGGTTCCATTTGCGGTACCCATTTTTGACCCGCACCCATATTATCTGAGGCCCCAAACGATGTTTGCTTGCATTCATAGGGCAATTACTTGAGCGGACCCGGAGTTGATGCCTTTTTTTGAGGCTTCGGGCCTTGAGCCGGCATCTCAATCCTCCATGCCGGGTCTTGCAAATGTAAGGGAAGGGCCATTGCACGAGCCAAAGGACCCCCCTACCGGAGGTATTTACTATGGAAAACCAGTTTCCCCAAAAATACCCTGGAAAAAAGCGGGTATTTTGAGTAAGGGGGGATGAAACGCAGCAGAGTAGCAGCGCCTGGTACTGCTGATTCACCTTCTTGACGCTCGTCTCAAGCGCCTCGCGAAAGTCCGACGCCTCCGCATCCCTGAAGGTGCGATTCTCCAGAAGCCAGAAGCAGCGCTCGAAGCCTCCCTCTGAAAGGTCCGGAAGGTCGAAGGATTTCTCGGAAGGGCTCCCAGCCAGAATTGGGACTCGTTCGCTGCTGATGGACACGTCCCTGTAGCCATACATCTCTCTAAACTACGATTAAGCCAAAATCTGTCTCCAGACTGAAACAACTATGTCAACAGGGAGGAGGGGGAACCACCCCGGCTCCTGGATAGGCACAAGGCAAGCCTATATAGATCTCGGCACCACTAGTGCGCTGGGGTTCTTGCTAAATTGCGGGGGGGGTTCATGGCAGGCCCACCTGTGATTTTAGTTCAAGACGACCAGACAAGGAGGTTGCTGAATCTAAGTTCCTAGAATCTCAAACCTGGCACAAACGGCTCTGTTCGAAGATCTTGCCCCTACCCCCAACCCACAAAGGAAGTCCACGCCCGGCCAAGGTCGTTTCTTCAAGGCTCCAACTGGCCGACGAGTTGAAGTCGGGAGAGTCGGTATGTCGCGACATGGGATGTTGGGTGTAGCCAGCTTAAATGAACCAGGCGATTCCAACGAAACCAGCCCCTCCTCCAGCCTCAATTCCTTCAGCCACATGGGACATTCATCTCCAAAATCAACTCCTTTCAAGGGGAAGAAGAAGCCGGTTTAGGTGCAACTCATTGCTCGCCTCGATCAACGCACCGTGACAACCCACATCATTGATCAAACGGCTCGCCCACATCATTGATCAAACAACGGCTCGCTGGTCGACACCTTGTACGGAATGGCCACAGACCACATCTGGAAAACCCTCAAAATACGACACGCCCGACGCCCTTTGGCCAGAAAACAATGCCGGGAGATTCCCGCAACAAAAATGGACAGTGATGCCCGATGTTGGATCCGATTTTAAGGAATTCTGGTTAGGCGAACATGCCACTTTACCTGAGTTTCCAAAGCATTCAAACGGACCTGCGTGGCGCAGTCACGTGTCTCTCGACCTGTCCGTTGTATCAGCTGGTTCTGATCTTGAAAGAGATTCTGCGAGAAGAGTGCCGGCAAACCGCTTGAAGCCATTGAGGTTATTGCATGAAGAAATGAGTATGCTTATGTATCATTGTACCCGTATTGCATGGTCCAGCCCCAACAACTCGAAAAGTGTCCACCCCAAAAACACAAAGGATCACTCCATGTCCTTTGCAACAACCGCATCTTTTCACTTCTATCATCCTATGTATTATTTGAACTACCAAGAAAGTGGATACTACAATTCCGACCTTGATTTAGAATTTCAACTTCAATTAGGGTCAAAACTATATCCTGAGTATCCTTGCCGTTCATTAACACAAGCATTCTATTATTTACGAAAAGCATTAAATTTACCATTGTTCCATCAACATCATTTATCAGGTGTCCGCTGTGGCACATCATCCACAAAGGTGCACCGCACAGCAAAAAATACGTAGGCGAAGCCACGCCTACAGTAAAAGCCGGCATAACAAGCCAAACATGGGACAAGCCCGAAAGGTGATGAAACCTCTCCGGAAAAAAAAAAAGAAGCCCAGAATCAATTGGAGCAAAGAACTCATAGAGAATTCCCAACAAATCGGGTCCTTTGGCTTTCGCTTGAAAAAAAACCCGAAAAGGGCATCTGAATTTAAAACAGTCACCCACTGGAAACAAGTGGTGCCCCAAAGCAAGGACCCTTCCTGATAGTCAAGCTCATGTTACTCTTGAGTTTGCTATACAGCGTTCCCCACAGTTTGCCTTTAAAACATCAACCAGCCCAAATGAGACTCACTTTTGAACTCGCCACATATATATATATATATAAATATGTATATATCATGTGTAGGTTGATGCTGAAAGAGCCAACAAAGGATCTTGGTATTTGAAACCGCCAAGCGTAATATTCATGTTCGAAACAACCGAAGGCAAGCTTGGGACACCCCAATCCCCGTAGTATTAGTATGCAACCAAACAAACCACCATGGAAAAAAGGAACAATCTCTGGCTACCTACCCTCACTGCATTTGAAGCAACTTACCAACTCCCTAAAGGCCCTTCATCATGGGTAAGCTCGATGTGCCCGTGAGCTCGGCATAAAATGGCGGTGGTATAAAGTGAAATGCAACCGTGAGGTTTCCGGAATACGGTCTTCCCAAACCTTAGCATGGTAGCAAAAGAACAATGCTTTTTGGCCCCCACCAACAATGAAGAGAACCAATACCCTGAATCCAACAATCATGGAACCAGAGCGATCGGGGACTTCCCCAAAAGGCATCTTGCAGCGAGGTGAAGATGTGATCATTCCCGATCCGGCCTCTCACATCACCTCGCCCCGGCCCTCGAAGCACCTCCAAAGCGCGACGAGGAATCGCTTCCTTTTTTGGAGGCTCCCGCTATTGCCCCATTAAGAATCACTCCAAGAGGAACGTAATCAACCAAGACCTCCTTCTTGGATTTCCCATCAAACTGCATCAAAGCCGGGTCTGAGTCTCCATGACATGCTTTCCAAATTTCAAAAGAGCCTGTTTTCGCCAGAAGCATAACTCAAGCAAAGACACCACCCACGTGACACATGGACAGTTTCTGTCTCAACATGCCGGTAGCACTCTGTTCAACATGCCCTGTGCATTCTTGCATGGCGAGAAAGCTGGAAAAAAGAAAAAGGGGGGCGCTAGCGGTCTCTTCATTCAGATGGGCCCCGTACTTGAAATTTGTATAACACTCCTTGCCAATGAGTTTCACATCAATGTCTGGTCGATTTTGAATGGCAGCCGCAAACAATTTTTTGCATGAGCAATTCATAGTCACATAGTTACACTAACGACAACAACAGCGGATTGGCAAACAAATCTGTCTCGCGCAGCACTAGCTCTGCTCTTCATGGGCAAGTGTTTACGCGTATCCATTTGTAGCACCCCTACCCTTTTTGGAACAGCCCGGATTCGGCAAAATTTGGTCCTTCCAATGGAGTTGCAATTCTTTGAGGCAAAGAAGCTTGCTGGTGCTCAGTCGGGAATGAACCAGGGTGTTGGGAATGAACCTGGGATTCCCTTTAAGGAAGCCATAGGGCACGGTGTATCGGGGTCGTTCCCTCATTCCCTGCTGAGAACCGCCCTTTTCAAATAGGTTAGAAGGGACGCCAACATTTCGAGTTTGGTTTAGGGAAACATGGGGAGACCATTTTTCACTGAGTTGGTAAGACCACAAGTGGAGTACTTGAAGAGAGGGGCTTCTTCCTGGGCATGGAAGCAACCCGCCCAGGGCTTCAACCAATTCCTCTCGTATTTTTGTCGGTTTTAAACATCACCTTTTGGACGCTGTAACATGAAACACACCCACAAAGGTCGGTGGTTCCTCAAGCTCCGGGTACTCCCCGAAATCCATCCGCAAGGTCGGCAGCCAAACTCGCCGGTTACTCCAATCAGGTCAAGCGCCCTCTCGGTCTCGGCCTGCACCCGGGGGGGCAAAAGGCCTTGCTGCGCTTCTGGTGGCGCAAGGACATGAGGAAGGCCTCGGAATCAAAAGTGGCGCATTAAAAATCATCTGTCCCATTCCCAAACACTTCATTCTTTATGGCTGAGATATATATATATATATGGTACGCCCCCCCCCTGGTGCCTAGGTTTTGCTTGATTTTAACCACCTTTTTCAAGACTTTTTGTACTCCCCCAATGCGTAAGCGGTTGGTATATATTGCCTACAGGAACTATGAAGTGCGCCCCATTTTTACGGGGGACTTGGATCACTGTTGGGGAACCCTGTAAAGGTCACCAAAACAGGTATACCTTTGTGGCTCAAGGTATCCAAAGGGAAACCAAGAAATAAATCATCCAGCTGTAGGGAGACCTACCCTCGCGTGCGCCTTTGCTTTTGCCCCGCAAAAAAACACAAACACCAATCATCACTTGTGCAGCCCGTGCATCAGTATGTCTATAAAACTTAACATGTGCTTGAAATATATAAAACTCAACCTATGATTAATGATCCACCATTTAGCAAAGTATTTTCCTGACCCTGCACTGATTCACAAACCACCGCTAAATAAAGTAGTTCCAACCGACCTTCTTGCCTTTCACCACAACTGGCTCACTTGCACCTTCCCTTTCCTTCGTTCCCCTAAAACAGGGTCCAAACCTCAATCTTGAAAACGTTCAGTAGCTTCGTACCTTTTTGTTTAAACTTATTACAATAAACTGTCCCCTACTTCTTTCAGATAGGGGGTAGTAAGGGAAGCACCAAACACATATTTTTTAGAAGCCCCGCCCAAATAAAGTTCCCCAACAACAACCACCAGAAACTTCCTTTCCCAGATCTCCCTTTGGAAACTCTCTGCCAAGAAGCTCCCTTTCTGACTGCCAAACCGACAAAGCCCAACCCTACTTCAGGATCAAGAAAAAACAAACTAAACTAATATCAGTAGAGCCGGCGAAGCCGGTGGGCGGAAGTTTCAAAAATATAAAAACTATAGTTCTCTTTCTCTTTCTTTTCTTGACTCTTTTTCTCCGTCATTCTTCCTTTCTTCCTTTCTTTCCTTCCTTCCTCCCTTCTTTCCTTCTTTCTATCTGTCTTTTCTTTCTTTCTTTCGTTTGCTTGTCTATCTATCTTTCTCTACCTATCTATACCTAACTACCCATCTGTCTATCTCTCGTGTTATCTATCTATCTTCTCTATCTATCTCTCTACCTCTCTATCTATATATCTACCTATCTCTCTATCTCTCTGTTTATCCATCTCTCTATAACCCTCTGTCTCTGTCTCTCTCTTTCTCTATCTGTCTATCTATCTATCTCTCTATCTCTCTTTCTTTCTTTCTTTCTTTCTTTCTATCTCTCTATCTCTCTATCTCTCTTTCTTGCTAGCTATTTATCTCTCTATCTCTTTCTCTATCTCTTTCTATCTATCCATCTATCTATCCATCTATCTCTCCATCTATCTCCCGCGTATCTATCTATCTATCTATCTATCTATCTATCTATCTATCTATCTATCTGTCTCTCTATCTGTCTATCTCTCTATCTATCTATCTCTATATCTCTCTATGTATCCCTCTGTCTACCTATCTATCTATCTCTCTCTCTATCTGTCTATCTCTCTATCTCTCTATCTATCTATCTATCTATCTATCTCTCTATCTCATTATTTCACGTGTATTTATCCATCTCTCTATCTCTCTATCTATCTATCTATATTTCTAATTATCTATAGATCTACTTCTCTATCCATCTCTCTATCTACCTCTCTATCTCATTCTCTCTACCTATCTATCTATCTATCTACATTTATCTATCTATCTATCTATCTATTTATTTCTCTATCTATCTACCTATCTATGTATCTCTCTATCTCTGTTTCTATCTATTTATCTATCTCTCTATCTATCTATCTATCTATCTGTGTATCTATCTATCTGTCTGTTTATCTATCTATTTAGTTATCTCTCTATCTATCTATCTATCTATGTATCCCTTTTTCTTTCTATTTATATATCTCTCTATCTCTCTATCTCTCTCTCTCTCTGACTCTCTCTCTCTCTATCTATCTATCTCTCTCTCTCTCTCTATCTATCTATCTATCTATCTCTCTATCTCTTTATCTCTCTCTCTCTCTCTCTCTCTGTCTAATTATCTATCTATCTTGCTCTCTCTCTCTCTCTCTATCTGTCTCTCTATCTATCTCTTTCTCTATCTCTTTCTATCTTGACTTCGCGGGCGTACTACTTTCGGACTTAAAAGTTACGATTTTCGAGCCCCAGCTCCAAAAGTGGACTTCACGTCTACTTTCGTACTTAAAAGTTGCGATTTTCGAGCCCCAGCTGCGAAAGTGGACTTCGCTCTACTTTCGTACTTAAAAGTTGCAAGCCCGGCTGCGAAAGTTGACTTCGCGTACTACGATTTTCGAGCCCCGGCTGCGAAAGTTGACCTTGCAAAAGTGCTGCGCCTGCCACGAAATCTGTACTTGACCTTGCGAAAGTGCTGCGCCTGCCACGAAATCTGTACTTGGCCTTGCGAAAGTGCTGCGCCTGCCACGAAATCTTTACTTGACCTTGCGAAAGTGCTGCACCTGCCACGAATTCTGTACTTGACCTTGCGAAAGTGATGCGCCTGCCACGAAATCTGTACTTGGCCTTGCGAAAGTGCTGCACCTGCCACAAAATATGTACATGACCTTGCAAAAGTGCTGCGCCTGCCACGAAATCTGTGCTTGACCTTGCGAAAGTGCTGCGCCTGCCACGAAATCTTTACTTGACCTTGCGAAAGTGCTGCGCCTGCCACGAAAACTTTACTTGACCTTGCGAAAGTGCTGCGCCTGCCACGGACTCTGCACCTGACCTTTCGAAAGTGCTGCGCCTGCCACGCAATTCAAACCTTGGAAAAACTTGACCTTGCGAAAGTGCTGCGCCTGCCACGAAATCTGCACCTCACCTTGCGAAAGTGCTGCGCCTGCCACGCAATCCTCCGCGTTGCCGTGCCAATGGGCCCGCGCTCCGAGCATGGTCCGAACGCGCTTCGAAGGCGCTCCGAACGCGCTCCGAGAGTGGTCCGACCAGGCGCCGCGAACAGGCTAGCTTTCGGCTCTCCGGAGACACCAATTCACGCACGGGGCCATGCTTTTTGCAGCTTTCTATACTCCCACCACACGCGCGCACATATTTTCTCGCGCGCTTATTCCTTCTCTTCATCTGTCTCAGCGAGAGCTGGCTTTCAATTAGTGCCGTAACACGGAAGTTCCTTCTAAACTTCCTTTGGCCAAACTCATACTAAACCAAAAGACTCCAAAAGGAATACAAACCAAGACTAAACCTTAGACTAAACCTTAGACTAGCCTTAGACTAAACCAAGACAACCGCAAAGGAATACTAAGCAATTCAAAATCAATTGACCCCCCCAGTCATGTATTCAGGGGCTTCTATTGCTTGGGGGAGGGTGTGTGTGTGTGTTTAAAAAAATCAGAGGTTGACATTCTACATCTGGACATTTCTAGAATATGTAAATTTCTATATGTGCAAGTATCTGCAAACCTGACCCACTTTCGAGTCATCCAGTCCGAGGCCTTGAGCGCCGACGGGCCCAGGCGATTCCGCTCCAGGCGCAAACCTGTGACCCGAAGGGGAAAGCTATGGGCAGCTTTCCGGGAGGTTGGAAAGGAGGGTTTTGCTGTCGTTCCCGGGCTGTTGGGCAAAAATGAGGGCAAAAATGAGGGGAGGAATTCCAGCCTCAAACGACCCAGGGGACATCACCCATGAGTTTGGGTTGCCACTTTCATGTGTCAATGGTTTGAGGGTGGCAGACGAAACATGTTCATCGGCCTTTCCGAAAGCGGATGTAGCCGCACGAGTCAGCAAGGGAACGATGAGTTTGTCTGATGGAGCAGCCCTCGAACTGGGTGCTCTACATTTAACGCCAACCCGCGGCTTGGCTTAACGGAGACTCCGGTGTCGGGAAAATCAAAGAACAACCACCCTTTCTCGAATATGCCTCATTTGAGAAAAACACAGATTGGAGAAACTCCATGAATTCCCAAGCCATCACGAGGAACGGAGTCTCCTTTTGGGGGACTCTCTTTTCGGGTTGGCTTCGTCTGTTTCTCCTAGGACAACTAGGCAAAGGAGTTTCTCCATTAAACACAAACACCCACCCATATGTGCCATGGTCATGGCAAACCAAGAGGTCCTCGTCTGTTGGCAAAGGCGTGGCCCGAATTGGACATTTATGACCGTCTCCTGGCCATGAAGCTCAGAAGGCTCCATGAATCTCAGCCCCAGGGTCCCGGTAGAAGGATTCCGAAAAGCCAGCTGCGGTTCTCAAGTGGCCCTGCGTATCTTTCAAGCCCTGCTCCATCTCGCCAATCGAAGCAACACATCGCTCTTCGACCGGAGCCGCCTGGGAAGGGACGCTTGTCGTGCGCCAACTTCAGCTCATTCAGCGCCTCCCCATAGTCGATTTCGTTCCTTAGCTTGACGAGATGTGCTGAGGTGTGAGAAGCACCACTTGCTAAGCACCCTTTTTGGAAGCAGCGGAATATAAAGAGATAACATGTTGAACAAACGACACTTGATTCTCCGAAAGGGTCCAACCGTTTGACCTAGGCCTGAATCAACATCACAGGTCAGGTTGAAACGCTGAGACTGACCACACGCATGGGGGATAGCTCAGAAGAGAAGTCTTGAGTGAGTGCTAAAAATAACAACAGACCTGGTTTGTCGACACCGCAGTTCCGCGGAGACGCATCTAATATCATCCAATCTTCTCAGTGCAAACATGTATGCAAGTCTACATGAGCTGGAGAAGAAAAAAATAGTTTTTTTGGTGTTTTTAGTTTTTTTCACCCCAAGTTGTTTTCATTGCAAATCCAAGCGGCGGTCTTCATAAGCATGACCCCCCCCAATAGTATGCCCCTTTAAGTGTATGAGGTCTCACGTGTGTACACCGCTGCAAATTTTCTGCTAACAAATTCACTCGGCAAAATTGCTGGGATCTGCAGAAAAAAGAACATGCAAAAAACAGAAATGGGCATCTGCGGGCTGCGCGCGACTTGCGCGGGACTTGCGCGAAAACTTGTTAATCTTGGTGATGATGATGATGATGATGATGATGATGATGATGATGACGACGATGATGATGATGACAAATCACTGCGTCACTTGCGCTTCACTTGCGCTTTGCTTGCGCAGCCCCATGCTTGACTTGCGCGGTCGCTCCTGTCACACACTCCTGCCCTTCAAATTAGAAGCGGCGGTGTAGCTGATTTGATAGGTACAACAAAACAACTGGGATCATGTCTTACATTGACACGTACAACAGGCTATTTGTTTCAGCTCATATGCATGAAAACATAGAAGACCTATATTCAGCGACCCCGAGTCCCTAAGAAGACCTTCCCCATCCACGCCAACAAGTAGAGCCATGTCCCAACTGTGGACTCCCACGAGAGATTTTAATTCACGGGCGTGGACGTATCAAAGGGGCGATGGATCTCAATCTGGGCTTTCTTAGGGAACCATGCGTGCGGGTCTTACAATATGGGGCCTCAACATAGAATATGGGGCCCCCATAAACCAACAAAAACAAACAAAACAAACAAACAAAGAAACAAAAAACAAACAAACACAATGCTGTTTTGTTAGTTGCCCTTGAGGCGAATTGCCGAAGAAGGAAACGTCACTCCATTTTGGTTTCCAAGCTTCGACTCCAGGCCCAGGTCTTGAATCTTCGAGCTGGCCAAGGTCCTCTCGCAAGAGTCCTCTGATTGAAAATTGTGGCAAAACGAACAACACATATCCAAAGTTTTTCATAAGTTGAAGAGCAAAACTAGGAAAATGAGTTGAAGAGTAAACATAAGAAGACACACAACTCTGCCCCAAACACCTAAGAAAACAAGGCCACACGAAAACAAGGCCACACAAGAAACACCAACCAAACATAAGCAGTGGAATGAAGGTGCTATTAAACCTCGGCCTCGGCCATCGTATCCCGTTAGGCCAGGTCAAAACGAGGTGGACAGTAATCCAAAGTGGGTGATGTCCACTAAAGGGTCCGCTATGAAACCTGAGACACATACAGTTTTTAATTGGTGGTATCCTCACCTGCTGTAGTGGCAACTAAAAGCACGGCATTTCCAACTACTTGTCCGCTGGCTAAGGGCTGGCCCTTGTTGCAAACGAGTCTTCCTTGCTTCGTTCCGTGTGGGTAAAATGAGCCACAATCAAAACCCGGGTAGATGAAGGTAAGGGGCCAGCTGGAAATAGTTGCGGCCTTTCTAAGTCTTTACGTCTTTACATGGTTCAACAAAAACGATTCACCTTTTTTTTTGGTGCCAGGTTTTGATGACTCGAAGGACGCCTCCGTCCTGGTGAGCGCCAAAAGGCCCTTGGACCGCAGCAGGTTCCGAGCCAAGTCCAAGCGCACCACGCCTGCACCCGAAGTCTGTTGGTTGAGCCCCAAGGAGGGGGGGGGACTTAGAAAGAAGTCCCCGGACATTTTTGTTGGTCTTCCTGTAACCCAACAAATCATCCGGACTGGGAAGTAAGAAGAAAGTGTCAGACAAGCAACCACATCGTCACGATCCAAGGCAAAGAAGCTAAGCAGGAATGAACAAGCACCCGCCCCCCCGCAAAAAAAAGAAGAAGAACATGATAGAACTTGCAAATGCAGGAAATAGACTCCAGACATCAGAGGCATTGATAAACGTAAGTACAAGCAGGATATCTTGAAGCCAAACTCAGGCATGATCATAGCCGCAATCCATGCTGGACGACTGGGAGATCGTTCGACACCACCCGAGGGCCAACCTGGACCACCCTACGGCCTCAAGAAAAAATGTCTCACTTGCGACCAAAGGACTTGGAAATACAACTCACTTCCTGAGTGGATGGGCAAAACAAGTCTGAAGCTTTTGTTTGCCAGGAAGCGAATTTTCCCAACAAAGTATGCAGTTTAGAATCTCAGGAAGCAAAACATGGCCCTGTGGCTAACCGTTTAGAAGCTTGCCTAGAATATGGAGCCTGACACCGGATGAACAGAATGATTCACCTAGGATTCCGAAGGCGCAAAGGTTGAAGACCGGAGCATCTTGAACATGTCCTGCCTCAACTTCACCGACATGTGAGACGTTCATGTTCAAGTATTGCTCGTGTATTTCGACGAGAATACTAATTTGATCTAATTTGGGAGTTTCTCAAACAGCTGCTCCTAGAAGGTGGTTGGCATCCTTGTGGTTTCCCTTAAAAACCTGCCCAATAGGGTCGCAATCACGCGTCTCAATCGATGAAACATGACGAACGAGCCGCCGCTGCGGGAAAGCGTCTTGGCGATGTGCTCCACGTCTTCTAATTCAAGATCACCTAAGTTCAAGGGCAACTGCTGTATGATTGCCCCACTGAGGTAACACGGAAAATAATCTTGACCCTGTGCCAAATTTAGTCTACCCTGAAATGTTCACTGTGTTTGGAGGAGTCATCAGTATGGACTTGAAGGAAAAGCAAGCAAAACGTGGACTGGTCATCGTACTGTGCAAGTCCAACAAAGAGTAAATCCTCAACTCGTCACGTCGGAAGTTTGCATGGTTTCAGGAACCCCCCCCCCACAACAAGGCAGCCCAGCCCAGTTGCCCAGCTGGACGCTGGCAGACAAAGGCGACCAATTTGTTAAGTTGATTCCATTGTAGTGGAAGACCTACCAAACAAAAAGGGAAAAAGGGTGACTCGCACTGAACAACCGACCAGTTTTCAACAGACCCCAGACCATGTCAACCAGCTGGAGTGAGACCCTCCTTCACCACAGAAACGAGTCGCATCGCTCCAGCTGCAGCACTTGCAGCTCAGGCAGCCGCAGGAAGATGGCCAAGGACCTCCCACCGCCTGCGGACTGGCTGGGCCCAACCCCAATTTTTAGGGGTGCTACAGCCCCCACAAGAAAAGAAGAAGGGTTGGCCAGATTCGGGTTTGTCATGGCATTTTGGATGGTTGTCTCAACATGACCCTCTCTGGGACTTGTTGATTCTGGGGGTTGGTCCCAATCCCATGCTGTGCAATTGCATTGCACGAATGGTTGTTCGGCTGATGCCAGGCCCTGCCAGGCAGTGCCTTTCCTCCTAGATTGGCCAGATTTTTTTCGAAATGATCCAAAGACCCAAAGGGCCCGTGCTCAACGCCCAAAAAAAGCGTCCAGGGAAGCTGTAAGGTCAACAAGTTCGCCTTCTGAAGGGAAAGAGGAACCGCTTGAAACGGGGGTGTGCCCGCCGGTCATGGGCTAGGGCCCCCCCAATTCCATTTGTTTTGTGCAAGTGGGATATTTTAATTGGAAGGGTAAAGGGACATGTCCATTTGACGTCTGACTCCCTGAAATAGTCCAAATTTATTGAAGTCCCGGTCTCAAGGGGGCATGCCTCATCCCCTGTCATACCAACAAGTTGGCCCTTTTTGCGGTGCTCTTTCAGGGCCAGAAAGCCCCAGTGGCGCCATACGGGTGTTGGTGTTGCGGCTACCTTTTGTGGTTTTAAACCCATACTGAGAACCAAAAAGGGTGGCACCTTTCTCCGAGATGAGCCTCGCAGGCAGTTCTCCGATAGATCCAGGGTCTGCAGTTGCCACGCCATGGCGCCTCAGGATGCTTTGGCGGGTTTGTTGTGACGGGCAATCCTGAGGGTATCCCTTTTCACCTCTCACCTTGGCTTCAAGCAAGGCAAGGAAACCACCTATGTTGACACATGGCAGTTCATGAATACTTCTGCTTCCGGAAAATGCCATCTGCAAGGCGAAAAGTTCTTTCGCGAACCTTTCGCGGCTCCATCGCCGCGGTCTTTTGTTTGCAGCGTGCGCTCTGGAGCCATTGTGGCTGTTGCAGTTATGCTCGCAAACACGGTAAGCGCGGTTCGCTTCACCAGCAGGCTTGCAGCAACGCTAAGGGAAGGCAGTCACCATCACGGACCATCATTCGGCCTTACCACTTTCTCTTGCCGTGGATGTGCGGAAGCTTGCAACAAGTTCCATGGGCTTTCGCGGTTCTTTTGCGTAATTTGCCCAACTTGTTTAGCTTGCACCATTCCCACGGGCGGATGCAAGAGGCGCTCATCTCCCTACAAGGGACTGGGGTCGCGCAGTGCCTCCGAAAACCCAACGCAGAGCCTTCGGAAGGATTTAAACCACCAATGGTCAGCGAATAGAACTCCTTGCAATCTTTTCATCAACCCCAACATACCCAAACGCCGGTTTGCCCAAAAGGGGCCCTCCAAAAACTAGACGTATCCAGGTGTTCCCTGTTCAACAAGCACCCCAAAAACAGGCGTTTACGAATCAACACCGAGGCAGACCCATTTTTTTCGTGATCAACGCTGCGAACGCATCGATGTCTCAGATCCCAAACGGCTAGGGGAAACCTAAGTGGCTACAGGGGAAACCTTGTAAGAAGTGCTTGGCTAAAGAGTCAAGTTGAAGGGTCAAAGTTCCAGGGCTCTTTTGGGCACACGTTGGGTCTGGCACCGTACGCTTAACTGGGTTGCTTAATGTTCGAATTGGATTTCTCAGGCAGAAACACATACAAAAAAACATGCCAGTTTGGTAGTATGCGGTTTGAGGTACACGCTCAATGGCAAGACAATGGCGAAAGACCAACTACTCTCGCCTCCTTTGACCTCCTTGGAGAGGAAGTCCATGGCTGTCGGCTTGTCGGGCCTCAATCCACTTTGCCGGTTGTTCAGGGTGCTTGCGTGTGACAAGTGTGTGCGTGCTTGTGTGCGTGAATATACATTTATGTTATATCTGTATGTATATATGCTTACACCTCCCTCACCATCCACTTTTCCACCTCGGCACATCCTCCATTTTCTGCAAATATGCTCATGTGCCACTACGCACTACCTTTCCTTTCCACACGCCTCTCAAATGCAGCTAGTCCTGCGAAAACTGCCAACCCAGCTAGGCGTACAAATTCCATTTGCATAGCAACTACCTTTGGTTCAATTCCTATTTGGAAAGTAAACGTCCAACTTTTCTTCTCGACTAATATAGACATTCAACTGCAAACAAGTCTTGCTTCAACTCTATTACAATCTTGAACAGGGGCTCAAATTTAAGTTCTAGTTGACCAAACAAAACAATTGAATTATTCTAGCTGAAGATAAAAGTCTTTCCGTATTGAACCCTATGCGCGTTCCACAAGTTAGCCAAAGGAAGTTTAGAAGAAGCTTCCGTCGTACAGAAACGGATTCAACTGTAGCTCGCGCAGATAGATAGCTTTAGAAGATAGACAGCACATGCGAAAAGATAGCTCTTCTAAACAGCTTACAGAAGATCAGATGGCAAGTGAAGAAAGAATGAACCCATGCGAGCAAACATGCGTGGGCGTGTGGCGAGGGACATGCAATGTCAAAAAAGAGTGATCCTGCTCTGTCTCGACGCCTGTCTGGCACGGTCTCGGGTGCGGCGCTTTCAACTATGTAGACAAAGTATAGGATTCATGGAGCGCACATCTAGGACAATCATACACCTGATCCATGATAATTCAACAAACCCAACAACTGTCTCTCTAAGCCCCTCCTCGCAAACCAATCTTGGTTTCATGGGACGGGAAGATATGGAAAGCAATGCAAAGCGATGAAAATCACCCGGCTCGTACCTAAAGAGGCTATACGTACCCACCCCATCCCACACCTACATGGCTGTGGGTCAAAACCAATGGTACCATTTTGGGTTAGGTGAATTCACCACCCATTTTAGAACCGATTTTAGTGGTTGGATTGGGATGTTCACTGGGGGATAACCGGGATTTTGTCCCATGGCCATATAATCATTGTAAAGGTGCTTACGGGATCTAGATTGTCTGTGCCGCACATAAGCAGCCTTGACCATGGCACGCATGGATTGGTTTCCTTGTCTCGTTTGACAGTCAAACTCGTCCCCTATTAGCCTTGACCATGGCCACATCTATGGGGTACCCCGCGTCTCCCCGCGCCCAAGCGCCGCGCCTCCCGAAGTCTTGGGCCACCTCCGCCAGCGCGGCGGAACTCAGCGCGGGCAGCGCCCGAAGCTGCGCAGCGCGCAGCGCCGGAAGTCTCAGGCACTGCAGAAAGGCCACCGGGCAGCAGACGAAGCTCCTGGGCTCAAGTAATTAGGTGTGTGTGTGTGTGTGTTTTTGCTTATTTGTTTTTTTGTTTGTTTGTTTGTTTGTTTGTTTGTTTGTTTGTTTGTTTGTTTGTTTGTTTGTTTGTTTGTTTGCTTTTTTTGTTTTTCTTTTCTTTTTTGCAAGAAGGGATGTGTTTTCCTGTATGTTTTGAAGTTTGACTTTTGAAAGGCTCGACTAAAAGAAAAACCAACTGTTTCAGGTTCGCCTATGTATAATCTTTGCACACGTTGGAAAGCCTACCGGAAGCAGACTATGCGACCCCCAGGTTTGCTTCCGCAGAGCCGCGGCAGGCGAGCTCCCCCAATACTAGACGAATGGCCAAACAAAACTCTGCCCACTTCCTGAGGGATTGGCCCAAAAAAGCCTAAGCCAAGTGTTTACCAGTCAAACGGCCTTTGCAAAAAGTATGAAGTCCAGAAACTTGGGAAGTGTGGGGGCGGATGCCTGTCTAGGAGGGAATCTCCACTTTTCGTGAGGGACACCCCTTCGACTCGCACAGGTTTGCGGGGTCGATGGGCATTGCCGAGGAATCAGAGGAAGCCACAAGGGAACAAGAGTCCTGGCCTGTTCCCGGGGACGAATCTGACCCCTGAAACAAATGAACGTGCGAATGGGAACGGAAACGAAGCAAACCAAGAAGGCAACAAGTTGAAAAGCTGACCTTTTGGTCTGCGTCAAAAAAAGTAGCCCAAATAACCCCCCCCCCCCCAGCCACCATGTCAACTTTAGGCCTCCGGAAGGCCATTCCCAGCCTGGCAAAAACTGGGAGAAAGCCCCCCCAAAAAAGAAAACACTAGCCATGAGAACCCAAAACATTTCGCTTCGGACCAGAACGAATAACCAAAAGCCCCATTTCCAGTGACTAGCCCTGTTTGGGGCCCACCTTTTTTGTGAGAAACCCGCCAAATCAAATGCAAAAGAGCAGAACCCACTGAACTGCGGGGTATCAACATATATTCACATTAAGAGATTCCGAGGGGCATGAGTTCTGGGTGCATCATGATAACTCACAAGCCGAACATGAGAGGAAACCCTAGTTCTTAAAGATGCTAGGAATCTCCAAACCACAACCCTAGATGATTGGAATGGGCGGGGGTTACTGTACTTGAAGATCACATCCTGCGTTGTTCCCTACCTATCGCACCAGCAAAGGATCCGCGTCCAAGAACTCGGGTGACTTGGCTGGAGCCTCCCAAAGCTTTCGGCGTTCAACACCCCGCCGAAGCTCATCTGCTCCACCCCGCTGGTGACCTCCAGGATCCGCTGCGCCGACTCAGCGCTCACCCTGCTCTGCGCCAGGCTCAACGCCTAAGCGCAGGAAAGCGAAGCGACATGCCCAGCGATGTCCGTTCACGTGAGTGGTAGAACACTTATCACTTCAGGCATCTTGTTTTGACCCCTTTTTTAGGAGTTACATGTTACTTTGCAGGGGAGTATATGGGTAACCAAGGGAATTACCTTTGAAAAAGAACATGAAACATGGCGAAGGGTTGCCTTCTATACTGGCGAAACACTTGGGATCGACTGTCGGGAGGAAACCACAGGCACCTAGGCAAGGTGAAGTAATTAATTGTTCTTGGTGTTCTTTTTTGCATATACCCCTCCTTGGACACATAGTTTGCAGTTGTGGACCCAGTTGCCATAGGCAACCAAGAAGATTTCATTGAGTGGAGCCCCCTTGGTTGTCTGCTACAGGGCCATACGTGTCAATGGGAAACCCCCCATGGAATTGTTGTCCACCAAAGAGTCCCTAATCAAAGTCCATGCCTGTTCTGGGTTCGGGTGTGCTCTGGCGGAAAAGAGATGAAACATGAGGGAATGACTTTGCAAGCAAGCAAGCAAGGAAGCAAGCAAGCGAAAGCTTGCAAGAGCTCGCAAGATCAAGCAAGATTAAGCAAGACCAAGAGACCAAGCAAGCAAACACACAAACTCGCAACCGAACATACAAACCAGACAAGAAAAGTCAAGACAAAAGCCACAAACACAACAACACAAACAACATCACACCAAGCAAAGCATTCAATTTAATTTGGCAACCAAAAGGTGATGTTTCAACCACCAAACAGGGGACATTTAAGGACGCCTGTGCCAACGATGACCGGGTTCTTGTAAGGACATGCCTGGAGGTTCAATTGTTTGGGGGGCGGGGGGGCTAAATTGAAGACCCAAAGCGTTTTGGTGATCCCTGTTTAACTTCAGCAACAAACGTTTCCGGGAATAAAAACATGGATATGTGTCAAAATGGGAGGGGACCCCCCAAAAAAATGTGGGTGTTGCTTATGTTTTTTTGACATCCCTTCAAACCAAGCACTCATTTGGTATACCCTGAAAACCAGACACTTGCGTGGTGCTAGAATGTGCTAGAAGAAGCCACCCACTCTGATTCGCTCCTATCTAAGCTTGTTTGTGACCAAGCCCCACCCGCCCATCCACTCACGGAATACATCCAGAAGACATGAAACTCGCGATCTGCCAGTTGCCAGTTGCCCTGTGAGCCTGGTAAAGGAAACCCTGGACATTGATGGGGAAGCCAAGCAAGGGAAAAAGGAGTAAAAAAACACTGAACAACTGGGTCCCAGGGAAACCATGTAAACATCTGGGCCTTTGGGGGGGAGCCCTTCCCCAACCAACCTGGCAGGGGCGGGGGCAGGAAGGGTGCGGGTGCACAACTGGGATGCGCCTTCAATGCCGGCAGCTGCTCGAGAGCTTGCACCACCTGTCGATGGCAAGTCGCATGGGAGGGCCCAGGGCCGCGAGTGTTCCTGTCTTGACCAAGTCATTATTGTAGCTCAGTCAGTTAGTTAGTTCGAAGACTTCTTGCCGTGCTTGCCGCCACTTGGCTCTGGCACATTTCAAGCAAGCTGGGTAGAGGGGGCAGGCGAAGCTGAAAATTCATGGGACTCTGGGCGCTTCAGAAGATGGGTCTTTTTCCCAATTGCGACAAGTCAGTGGAAGTGGCTGCTATGGGAACAGTGAAGCAAGCAGGCCGCTCCCCCGCAAATCGGCGGACTTCCTTAGAACTGGTTGGACGGTGTTCAGAAGGAAACCAAACGGAAACAACTCATGTCGGCAGACATCTCGATTTTGCTACACGCTGAATGTTTGCGTCTCAGGCAAGGAGAGTGTACCAAAGCTCACGACCTACGTGGGGAATTCTAAACCTGAGCGTCCCCAACTTGTCTTGATTCTGTCAGAAGGGATGTCTGTTGCTTAAAAAGATCCTTTCGCAATGCAATGAGCTGGGCTGTTGCTCGCGGCATGCGAAGCCACAAACCAAACCCGAGCCCCTCTCTCTCGCTCTCTCACAGGCCATCTCAAGAGGAGAACATCAGTCACAATCGTAAAAACGAAATCAATCAAGTCGACCCTCTCAAAACCATATGAACACATATGAACGCAAAGAGCGCTCAACACTGTCCCCTTCCCACCCCCAACTACCCAAGTTTTGATAATGGCGCGCGTAATGGCATGCACGGGCAACGGGTAGCTTCTCTGGACCTGCTTGTGGGGGAATTTGGGTTGTGTTTCCCATGTCCCAAGCCAACAGAGTACAATGTTGCCACCCTGGGAGCCCAAGACCCTGAAGTTGAGGGCATTTGACTCCACGTCTTGGGTCCCTTCGGAGAGTTGCGCGCATCAGATCGATCTGAACTTATTTGCTTTCCGCCTTGTCCATCTCCGCCTCCACCAGGCCGTGCAATCGAAAGCCATCCGTAGGTCTTTTGCCTCTGATACCGAAGAAGCAGACAACGTAGGGCAAGTTCGAAAACCCATGACATGGGGACTGCCTTGAAAGGCACTTTTTGACACCAGGAAAGCGAAATCCTTGCTTGTCCATCTGGCACAACAAATCCGCCTGACGGGATGAATACGACTATCTGCTTGGTACATATCTGTAGATCCTAAGGAAGCCCGGTCAAGTCTCGCAAAGTAAATGAAAGCAATGAACGCGCCAAGCCCTTGAGGGTGTCCAGTGATATATGGTATGCACCGTGCAGCCAATGCCGGTGAGAATGGATCATGCCACATCAAAACGTCTTGGCGTCACCCTTTTGGAGGTCAAAGCCAGTTCATTTAAAGAGCACCTGGAAGTGACTTCTTTCACTGGAACAGCATGCTTGTTTCCTGATGTATGGCATATCACAAACAATAACCAACCAACCAACCAACCAACCAACCAACCAACCAACCAACCAACCAACCAACCAACCAACCAACCAACCAACCAAACAAAAGGACAGACAGACAGACAGACAGACAGACAGACAGACAGACAGACAGACAGACAGACAGACAGGCAGGCAGGCAGGCAGGCAGGCAGGCAGGCAGGCAGGCAGGCAGGCAGGCAGGCAGGGAGACAGGCAGGCAGGCAGGCAGACAGACAGACAGACAGGACAGACAGGACAGGCCAGACAGACAGGACAGACAGACAAACGGGCAGGCAGGCAGACAGGCAGACAGGCAGACAAACAACCTAGCCAAACCAAACCAAACCAGGCCAAACCAAACCAAACCAGACCAAACTAACCCAAACCAAACAACACAACCCAGACCAAAACAACTACACAACAAAAACAAAATACTACCGAGACCGCTCGCGTTGGCAACTCGGCACATTTGGGGATCTGTGGGTATCTGTGTTTTCATCATCCATCTGGCGTCTGCACTTGCCGTGGATGAACTGTGAGATCTGTTCGCCTTCGCGTCTCAGGCCAGCAGAGCCTCCTGCAGCCTGTGGTTTCGAGAGGTACCCAGGGCATCGGCGAGAGCCGCCAGGGCCGCCGCAGACGCAAAGAGCGTCAGGGCCAAGCAGGTCTCTGGCTTGTGCGCGGCGAGGCCCTCCGCAAGGCTCAAAGGCGCGGATTTCGCGTCGATCGCATCGATGCCCTTGGACCAGGTGCCATGGGTGAAGAGAGCGTAGATGAGACCCGCCAGGCCGATGGATTGGCTGATGATCAACTTAAGAATCATGCTCACCAAAGAGCCGGGGTTGCCTGGCAAAGCTTTCACACAGGTATAGCCGAAGTAAGCCAAACCCACGCTTGAAAGGAGGTACAGGACACCAGCGGCTGAATCCTCTCCGCTGGGTGGCCAGGTCCGCGCATCGACGACTGCATTGATGAGCCCGTAGATACCTGTCACACCATTAAAGACCACTGGAAGCATTGCGAGCATAATGAGGTCGGGCCTCTCAAGTCCCACATCCAATATGGCATAGCCAGATGCGGTCGAGCCAACTACACCGCCAAGTGTGGCAAACAGAAACACGGAAGCAAAGGGAATCACAGCACCTGGGGAAATGTCCTCCCGGCCGGGGGCAAAGCCGCCACACAAGAGGCTAAGACACAGGCCGTAGAGGGCAAAAGCCTCGATGTAGATCAAGATCAAGACGAAGCCAGTGAAGACTCGAGGCTGCCGAGCTCCTGTTTGCACAGCTTTCCCCGCGAAATAGCCTTGCCCCACAGCCGATATGCCAGAAGCACAACCGTTCACCAGGCCAACCGCCAGTGCGGAATTGCCTGGCAAGGCTGGTTCCTTCCCAAGGTCATTGTGAATAACCGCAGCACCGACAAAGCCATAGACGGCGCACACTACCAACATAATGCTGCTCACGATGATGTACTGGCTTATGGAACAAGCGGGTACTTCTGACTTCGCCTGCTTCACACCAGCTGAAAGCTTGTAAAATCCTATGCCCACCCCTGCTAGAGGCAATGCAACCGACAGCACGATGCCTTTCATGCCAGCATCGCTCTCCGCGTGGAAATCCATGGATCAGCCCAAGAAATGGGAAGTTGATCTGGGCAACAGAGCTTCAGCCAAAATGCCTTCAGCCACAATTCTACGGGTTGATTCCCCATGATTTTCAGCCATCCTTCCTTTAAACAACCAGCCATGTCCCCAGGGTGTTTGGTGGTTTTCTAGAAAGAAGGATCCCTGAAAAGAATGGGGAAGCTACCCCTAGAACAGTACCTGTCAAAATGCCTTACATCACGCGGGCATGTGGCCGTTTCTCAAACAACAACTTCTCCATCCAAAGGGCACGCCCGTGCCGTGGCCAAGGCGAAGTCCAGTCGTCGTTTGGCGCTGCAGCAGGGCCGGGCCACTGGCGCGGGCGGTATAAACGGAACACTGCGGGCTGCTTGAAAGTGGCACTGCATCACATCCCAAAATCTGAGCCAAACAAATAATATATATATATATATACGTGTATATATATATACATAGTACGTATATACACAGATCATATTATATGTATCTATATAGACCCCCTGCACAAGTAAAAGTGGCTGGTTGAAAGGAACAACATGGAAAACCATGAAAGGCCGAAAATTGAAGAGGTGAGTGTGTCAAACTAGGGTGACCCCAACATGGATTTGTCCTTTCAGTTGTCCTTTTTCAACCAAGCAGAAAATGGGTGGCATCCAAAAGGCACACCCCCAATGGCCTAACACTGGGAGTGGTGAGCATGTCCAAGTATTCCAAGCCTATTTTCCCCAACCATCTGGACTTGTCCACTCACTTCCGATCGGATGGGCCAAAACAAAACTGTTTGTTGGCCAAGATGGTCTTCGCCAAAAGTAGCAAGATGTAGCAAGTCCAGGGGTTCAGGAAGTGAGTCAAATCCGATGATGCAAGGACTGCCCCTTGCGGGGTTTTCTGAAGGCTCGTGTGCCTCTCAGAACCCCATGTCCCACCTACTGTCAGCAGCCGCAGCAAAGCATCACGCTGCCACCTCAGAATGAACCCGCCGGAAGCAAATCAATCAGTCTAAGATGGTGTTTCAGTTGGTGATTTGGATTGGTGGTTTGGAGATTGGAGAGTGGTGTCCCATGTAAGAACCAGGGGTTCAAGCACCCACCAATCGAAATCATCAATTTGGGATAGTCTTACTAGAACCACTACCCTTACAGAACCACAGGGTATATAATCTATAATAGTGCCTTAGCCTGGCGAAGTGCTTGGAAACCTCCTATTCTCATTTGCTGGGGTTGCTGCTCCCTGAATGCTCGCCTCTTGACACATCCAAGGATCAGCTGTCGGGGCGTCCAAACAGGAAGATGGGAGAATACCGACAGTATACCCTGTGCAAAAAAGGCATGTCTTTTGGTTTGTCAAACAAGACCCTCCACAACAGAAAGTCAACAAGCTTTGCTTTCCACTCCAATGCTCCACACACACACACACACAAAAAGCCAAACAAAAACAAGTGGCTAAAGTCCAGAATCTCCAGCGACGCGTTGATCCCTCGCTAAAAGTGAAACTTTAGTGGGATATGTCGGACACTCTACTCAACTCTAAAGAGTGCATGGCTGGCATCCGCCGAGGAACTCAGGGAGTGACAGTTTTAACTTTCCTGCGTGAATTGGCCAAAAAGCCCCAACCATGGTTCTTCCCAAAAAGTGCAAAGTCCATTGCGTCTCTTGTCGGATGACCCTGGCCCCGGCCTGGCCAATGTGGAGAAACTCGTGACTGAAACTGGCCCCAAGATCCCAAAGGCCTCCGTCGGGGAGTGCTAGAGGAAGCCATGTTTATGGGGCGCAAACTCCGCATTTTCGACACATTGGAATTGCCAAGGAGCCACAGCAAGGGCAGCACCAGCAGAAGCCACATCGGACCGAATATCGGACCGAGCTGGCGCTGCTGAACTATAGCTTCATGTTGCTTGGTGGTTTGAAGGTTTGGGTTTCGGGAGTTGGGGGGCTGTTTCGGGGGTGGGGGGTGTGGTAGGGTGGAACGCTTTTCTGGGCCTGTAGGGCCCCTACAAGTCAAACTGCTTGCTGGTCGAAAGAAAAATGAAGGAAACCCAAAAAAGTGCCAAAAGGCCAGAACGGTTAGTCAAGTCTGGCAATGGTTGGTTGAGATTGATTGAACAAGCACTTGTTGGGGGTGCGTTTCCTTGTCGATAGGTGTCCAAAGGGTTTTGCATATGCTGTGAAGACCACAAACAGCACAAACGTATCCATCTCAGCCCATTTACAAGCCGCTGGAGATTTTCCCAGACAAATTTATCTTCTTGGTGGCTTCCTTCGACGAAAATGGTGCATCCTTTCTGGGGAAGGCTGCGAAGATCTTGCACCGTTTTTCAAGCCCCACATGTCCCCTACCCAGGAAAAGTGGTGGCAGGGAGTCCAATTCCACTTGTCCACTCCAAGGGGAAAATTGTACTGATGCAGTTCCAGCTCATGCTGACCCACTGCTTTGAGCCTCTGAGCCAATGGCTTGTGCGTCTTTCAGGACTTTGAGTGATGCGACCCGAGCTCCTCCCGCTTCTTTCCACTGCATTCCGCAAGGCGTTGCAGTGGTTCGCTGTAGCCCTCACCATTCGGCGATCGGCGATCATCTCGCCGGGAGCGGCAAACCGCCTCCTTGGCCAAAACCCATCGGATGGAGTCATGCAGCCCGGAGACCTGCAGAGGCCATTCATTGGATCTCTGCTGCCCCGGGAAGTGTCACGATGGCCGTGAGCCAAGAAAAGGGCAAGGCTGAACTGCAGCATTTCTGGCCCAGTGAATGAGAAAGGGCAAAGGGAAAAAGGACCCTTTTGAGCTTGAGTATCTTTCATGGGGAACCTGTACCAAACAAAAAGGGAACCCAAGTGCCACAAAACAACACGACAATTCATTGAGCGAAAAACTCCCATCGCCGGAAACCAGTAGAATCACAGGCAAATGTTGCGTTCAAGGTTCCCGGTTTCCAAGAGGTGGCTTCACTTCAAGGTGAAAACTCCAAGCATGGGTCATGGTCATGATTCCCGTACTAATGTCCAAAGAGCTGCAAGCCCAAGACAAAGCCACCAAACGCACCTACGATGGTACATAGTAAGGAATGATGGAGAGTCCATCCCGTAGTCAAGCCAAAGCCTTCAGCCTTGCCCGGCGGTTTGTGAATCCTCAAGATCCGCTTCCAAGCTTGACGGAGCCCAAAACTTGGGGTGCCTCGTCATCGATGACAGCCTTGTCACCACAAAACCAGCCGCCGGCATTCGCTCTTCGAGACTGAAACCCCGTCTCGAAGGCACTCAAGCCTGAACGTGTTCATCCGGCTTGTGACCCGGGGGCAATGCTAGGTTCATCCTTGGGATGAGCCAATTCTATGCAATGCCATGCGCGAAGGCAATGGCAGTGGAGGTGTGCACGCATGCAGTTTCTTGCCGGCCAAGCGAAGTCAAACAGGCAAGATTCTCGCCAGGGTTCACTACTCAAATGAAGCAACACATCTCACAAACTAGAGTCAATCTATGTGATATCGGTAGTTCATATATAACTGTCGGCTCTGAGCAGGCACACGCGCACACACACACACACATGCGCGCGCGGTGTGATGTTGACACGTATCAACGTGTTAATCCAGCATGCACAGACTATTGAAGCCCCTATATCGAGCACATGTGAATGTGTATATATATATATATATATGCATTTTGCCGCGGTGACGCACTCTGGACTGCTTGCCATTACGGCACCTTGGCAACATCCAAGGCTTGCGTCCTTTTTCTGAAGGCTCGGGTCCCAACGAAAGCCTCATACAGTTTTGTCAGTGTACCTTCCATGGTGGGTTATGGATAGACCTCCCGCGGCGTTCAACGTTTGTGGCTCGCTTTTTGACAGATAGTTCCAAAAACTCATTTGTGAACTCAGGCTTAAGGTCCTGGTTGATTAACAAGGGGGTGTCCCATGAGTGAGGAATTTCTTGCCTGGGGGAGTTGCACCTTATGAATCTGCTAGGGTCAAGCAATTCCTGGCAAGTGCCACGAGATTGGCCATTGTGCGCGGCTCCACTGCCTGTGGCCAGTCCTTGTGCGCTCTGGCATGTTGCATCCCGCGCCATCTAGGCGTGCCTCGAGGCAACTGCAGGATGCGAAAACCGAGAAAACTCCATGCACAGAGGAGCAAGTGAATTCTCTGGGCAAAATCCAGTTATCAGCACGGGAAAATGTTGAAAAAATCCCAACGGACCTGGAGTGTGAGCTGGTTTTACCCGAACGAATCGCTGGAAATCGCTCGTAAGTTGCCCAGAAAATGTTCCCTGCAAATGGTTCAGGGAACAACTCACTTGCCCAAAGGACCCACAAACAACATGCTTGGGCCATGACTAACACTTGACTAACAAGGGGAAACCATAACGCTCGATTCGCTTTGGGCAAGTGAGCTAAAGTATGGCGAACCGATCGTCGGGCTCAGATGAGCAAGAGCCGACGCTCATGGCCTGTGGTATTGGTCATGTTCACCGGCGCGCTTTTCAGCTGCGCGGTGGTTCCGTTGCCCTCGAAGCTCTCAACTTCCTTAGTAATTAGCCCGTAAATCCCTTGCTTAAAGTCCAAACTTCTAATGAGATATGGCGGGATATGGCGGGATATGGCGGGATATGGCATAAATCATCCCCCCCGCTAAGGGGGGAGACGTCTGAAAATGAAATTTGCATTTTCTGGGGCTTGGCATCTAAACGTGTAAGATTACATTTTCTTCCGGGGACGCGCCAAGTGTAAGATTCCATTTTGGACGCTGGTGGACCTATCAGCAAGGTACCTTGCACACAATCAAGCTTACAACTACTTCAACAGCCTCTGCGCATGCGCCACATCAGCCCCTCCAGCATCATCAGCTTACATTTTGCTACTACTTGTGTTGGGGGGAGGGGTGAGAAAAAGTAACTTGCGACGTGCCCAGGTGTCAACTTACATCTTACCCCCCCCCCAAAAAAAAAAACAAAAAAACAAAAACGGATATATCCCGGATATACACCTCAAAAAAGGGGTCCTCTTACATTTCTTTTTTTTGTTTGGGGTGCCGAAAATGCAAATTACATTTTCAGACGTCCCCCCCATTTTCGGGCCCTAAGAGGGTGGGTGAGGATCATAAATCCCTCTAAACGCCAAACATCTGAAACTCTGCACCCGTATGGGAAGCGCCAAGCTTCCGTTTCGTTCAAGCTCGTCTCGTTGCCTTCGATTTCGTTCTCAGAGTAGGCGCGATTGTGCAGCCACCGCAGGTAGAGGTAGGCCTGAACGTGAGCAGCACCCGAGACTGGTCCATGGATGCTTTTCTGTTTTAGGTTTCCCTTGGATGGTATAAACTGAAACCCTTCTTGGGGGGTCCGCTATGTTGACACTTGACACAAACCCTAATATGCTAAATGGAAGGTTCTCGAAACTTTGGACCCCTTTTGGATGGTGTTCTGAAGCAAAACGAAAAGGCAAAACCACAATGTTAGTGAATTCCTATTTGCGAACACCCCAAATGGTGGATGAATAGTAAACTACACCCCAAATGCAATGTGGAGAACCTTTTCAACACAGCATGACCGTGCCAAAATCTCCAAGCAATGTCCGGCCACAAGACACGTCAATGAGTTCAAGCCACAGAGTGACTTAACTCTGGCCAAAGCAAAAAGCAACCACATAACATAACTGGCTCAAACAAAGAGTCACAGCCAACTCTGGAACTTTGCATTTGCGAACTGTTGGCTCTTCTCAAATCAAATTCGTGGAGTTGTTGTTTCCACCGTATCTACAGGTGGAGTTGGGGAAAAGGCGATTGTGTCTTCGACGGTGCCTGGAAAACCAAAACCCACTTTCGGGAGCCACTCCAAAGTGGAGGTGTACTCTGAACCAACATCAACTGCGAGGCAGCCTCGCAACACACAAACGCACATCCGATGCGTCCATGTCAAATGGGTCAACATTCGTGGTTGCACAGTTGCGCGTCCAAAAAACAGCAATACCGAAAAGGAACAAGAAGCAAAGTTTTCTGAGGAACTGCAGTACAACAAAATACTGACGCAAGCTCGTTTAGAACAGATCGCCCTTGTTTCGCTGATCAACTCAACCGATGAGTGTCAAGGCGTGTCCTTGGGTGCCCTTGACTTTTCTCTAGCAAACGGTAAACACGAGCTAGGATGCTCAAGCTTAGCAGGTAAAAGTAAGTAGGGTATAACCTGGCTTAATTGACTTATAAGCGTCGCTATACCCTAGTTGCTGAGGATGTCCAAGAGGGCCTTGTGGCACCGAAAAGCTAGACCTGGGTCTTCTGGGGGCAGGGTACCCTTCCTCGCGATCCCGCGCCGTGCTTTGCACCTGATCGTTCTGGAACCTCCACCTGCCGTGGTTCATGTGGTGCTTGACCTCGCCTGCACGCAGTCGGTTTCGGGCCGAAAGGGCGCTCCACGCAGAGAATCTTCACTTCATGATGCAGGTGTATATATATATATATGTATACACATACAAATTATGTAAACATATATGTACAAATGTATGTATCTCTTTGGGTGGGTGTCGTTTGGAATCGGTGCCCTCTTCAGAACCCCAGGACAAATTTGGGAGATCTTCAAGTGATTGGAGTTTCTTGTGGGTGTTTCTTCCCTATACGCCACTATACACTGACCGTCATGCCTCTGCGGGTGAGTAAAACACTGGAAGGGTGCCTATGCGAGCCTAGGCCACTACAAGAGCCCTCGCGGAGTGCACAGACTTCTCGGGCGCTACTCTTCAGCTTGTGTGAGGCAAAAAACATGCCTGCGCGAACCTGCCCGCGCAGGAATTTCTTGAACACGCAGGCTGATCGTGTTTCTCCACCAGAGTTGCCTACACGCTGCCTCCAGAAAGAGAGCTTTTCCCGAATAAGCGAATACATTGCGAAGCAAACTCGGCAGTGGCTGATTGCCCTGCAAAACGACACACCCGAGTATACCGCATTTGCCTTCCCAAAGTTGGAGCTGTCGACAAAATGGGAACCCACTGGTTGGGACCGCCCCAAAATCGGGGTCAGACGTAAACACTTAGACCCGGGGCAAAAGTGAGACTTGTTGCTTGTTGGAAAAGCAACGCAGGAAACCCAAAAAGGTCAGGTGACTATGTGTCAAGGATAGGCCAAATTGTGGATTTACTCCTGGGTTCCCTTTAAACCAACCTGAAAAGGGTACCAACTCCGCAATATCCACAAGCCTCGGGTCTGGCAATAGCATCGTGCCAGGACCGACACCCTCCATATGGGTGTGTCTCAACAATAGGGGCACAAAAGTAAATCAAACAGAGACCAGCCAGGTTGAAGGGGTCCCTGCTTTTGAGAAACGTCCATATTAGTTGGATCAAATCAGCTCAACCCACAAAAGTCATTTGGAGCATCCCCTGACTTGAATAGATCCGGAAATTTGGAGCCTTTTAAATACAATCAACTCCTGCCTGTATAGAAATTATGACATTGCTCAGGTGGAAGCTGTGCCTTGACGTTCCCTTCCATTCGCGCATGGCTGCACTTTTGCCACAAGTCGATATACCCCCCTCACCCCGCCCCTGACCCCACACAACTGCACCTGCATTCATCCACCTGACCTCGGAGACCTCCTTGTCATGGCCCTTGCCGGGATGCGAATCCTGGCGAGAGCCACTCTCAGCCAAAGCGAAAAAAAATCCCCAATTGGTTTGGATTTAGGGGATTTTGGGGGTCAAAACCCTCCATTGGTTTAACTCTCCACCTCAATTGGCTTCGGAAATTAGGGGGAGGGGCTCTTCCCATGCAAGATAATTTAGGGTTGCTTGAAGGGGAAAACCAGGCTCTGGAAATCACGGGAGGGCCAAAAGAAAACATTCCGGATCACTGCGATGCGCTGCAAATGCACAAAGGTTTCCCTTGTGACCTCCAGGAGGGTTCCTTTCTTTCCTGGGAGGAAACGAGCCATCTGAAACGGGAACCGTCTGACCATTGGACAGCCCCGCTCCTGCAGCCAGCAGTCATAGATCTGAAAGCCCCCTCGCACAGTTGCGAGGCGTTTGCCTGGCATGTCTCACACCAATCCTCTGGGAGGTTCTCAACATGGTCTCACCTTTGAAATGGTTCTTTTGCTATCCCGTCCCCTTCAAGTACCAAGCCAAATGGGGGCGGTTCACCAGTTTGAGAATCCCTTCGGCAAAAGGAACTGACGCAAGCAGAATCCCAACAGCGCCCCGTTCGAATAGGATACTACTTTCTACTGTTCAGCCTCTATTGGTCTACTGTCGAATTTCTGAAGCTGGATCTTGTCGTAGCGGTGCGTGATACCCACTTTTTCACCAATGGAAGTACACAAACGATTCTGGAAGACTGCCGTCCTCTTAAAAAGGCCCCTAGTCCATGCAGCCCATTTTGAAAGCCCACCATTTTTGACCCGAGCCCAAAGGAACGTACGGAGGACAATACCGGCTGACCGGGATCTCGGGATTTGTGAAAGACCTCTGCCAGGTTCCGTTTTGGGGGGACCAAAACAACTCTGCATTCCTTGATTTGGGGTCTCTTGGGACTAAACCAAGCCAGGCTCGAGCATACTTTGCTTCAAGAACCACCTGGTTTCCTTTGAAGGATAAACAAGAGTGGCTTGAACCATGGTGTAAACAAGAGGTGTTCACCCATCGTCTGCTTTCTCAACAATTCCTGGACCTATGAAACTCTGGTACGAGTATGTAATCTCAATTGAAAACCTCAGCAAATGGCACACAAATTCCAAAAGCTGAAATATGAGATCATCAGGTAAAGGAGCCTCTGAATCGGTAAGCTCGGCAACAAACCGGCAGACACATGACATGCGCCACCGTTCATAGCTCTCGTGTCAAGCAACCCCCTGTGTCAAAACGTATGGAAGTGTGCTCAATCGATTATTCCCTTATACGGTACATGACAGTAAATAGAGATGCCTTGTTTTGAAGATACCCTTTCTGGCGCTCCTACACAGCCACGGTTTGTTGCGTGGTGTACGCCATTGTTCTTACTTGGCAGTTGAACGTGAGACGAGACCTGCAACAAGGAGGTCTATCTGATAAACATTTGTGAAGTGCGCCCTCGCTCAGCGTACATGATGGTGTGCTCTTTGATGATGCGCAGGGGGGAAAGAATAGCAGCATCTTGCAGCATACGTTTTGAAGGGGTATGATTCGGGGCTATGATTCGGGGTATGCTTCGGGGGTATGATTCGGGGGTATGATTCAGGGGAATGATTCGCCGGTATGATTTGCCAAGGTCCCACCTTCTGCCTTTTGAACCAACTCAATACACAAAAAAGAGACAAACCCATATATGTGTATATATGTAAGTATATACATATACATGTATACCATGCTCGACATGAAACTGGCTGACCTCGCCTGCTTGGGCCCGGTACCCTGACTCCTCATAGGTCTCCCTGACTGCAGTAGAGGCCGCCGACTCGCGCCAGTTGGTGTGACCTCGCGACTCGGTTGGATCCCATTGGTACAAGTGGCCTGGAATCCAGGAACCCGCCTCCGCATCTCCCAGTAACATGGTCTATGATGTCTATGGTCTGGCTGCTTATACGCAGTTGGGTTCACCGCAGTCCCACCAGCCTCCGGGAATGTCGTACTTGTGGCCGTCGTAGGTCAACTTCACAACCAGCATCTTGTCGCCCCGATGCAGGAAGCAGCCCGCGTGTGCGGCGTCCCCACGCGCCCAGGCCTGCCAATTTGGGCAAAATGGCTCTTTGGACAAGCGCACACCAAGTGGTTCCGAGCAAAAGCTTTTTAGCATGTAGAACGCTTGAGTCAGGTCAAAGGTCCTTCTTGCTGCGAATAATATGGGTTGTCTCCAAATGAACCGTCAAAATGGGCTCTCTTTGAGGCAGACCCCTTTTCTGTGGGCAACCTCAAACAACATGCATACCAATGAGGGACAGCTTCCTCAGGGCTAGTTGCCAACCTACTATTGAACACCTACTGCTTTTTACACAATACAAACAATATGTTGCTGGTCTTCCTTCAGAGGTGGTCAGGGTATAAGTATATCACATTTTGCCGAATCCTGGTCTTCCCGAACGTTGCAGGAGTACAAGAAACGGGCACAACAACTGGTAGTCAGCAGTCATGAGCCACAAAGGGGGTGGACCAAATGGTGAACACAACACCGAACCAGGATTTCCAGCCAACCCAGAGGGTCCAAGTACCTTCTAAGGAGGTACTTAGACCCCTTTTACCCCCCGAAAGCCATCCTGATGAGGTACTTGGACCCGCTGGGTAAGCAAAGAACACGCTTTCCCATCGCTTTGACCCTCAATGGAGCCTGCACAACCTCCCAGCCCGCAAAACAAACAAAGCTCCTGGGGCAAGGCCAAGATGATCAGCGACAGCACGCGCGCCATCTGTTCTGGTTCAGACCGGCTTGAAGCAATTGGAGCCAACAAATGACTGCGGGGACGCATTTCCGCGGCTTGTTGAAAAACACCTTCCGCAAACCTTCCCCGTCTGCAATGCGGCGGTACCTTTTTTGTTGATGTCAACATCTATATATACATGTTTGCTTGAGCGGGAAACAAAAACCACTCAGCTGAATGCCCGTCAACCTCATGCGCCCACCCCAATGGGCCGTGCAGCTTGCTCCCAAAACCTTCCCTCCTGATCCCTCTCAGGTCATTGCTTATCCGTCTCTCCAATTGATGCTGTACTGGGCGTTCTTTCTGGCGTGTGTCGCTGAAAGAGGAACGGACCTCCCTTTGGTGCAGAGTTTGCACTCCGAGCCTGGCCCAAGTACCACCTGCCGCTGGGCATACCTTGGTGGCAAAAGAAACACGCAGCCAGCATTGCCTGCGATGGCAGCATGCATTCGAGCATAGCCAACATGATATGACAATGCTTCCCAGCAAACAACATGCTGTTGAAACTCTAGCCATTCTGGCATCTCTTCTTGTCGTCAGCCACGTTATCAAAGCGAGTGCAAAGGTCGAACATGCTGCAGGCAAATCAGCAATGCGCCGGATCGGCCCCCCTTGCATGGAGAGTTAGGTTGCCAAAACACGCCATCTTTGAAGTTGCAGCAGTCATGGAAGCCTTTTGGGCAGGCATGCAGTCTACTGCAAAATGTGTGTTTCTTTACTTGTGTGCTTGGTCAAGTGAATCAAATATGGAGAGCCTCGCTTTGCAGTCCTTGGCCACGTCACTACAATCATTTCCCCTCGCAGCTTACAGGATCCCCCGCACATGTGTAACAACTGGTGGATAGGCCATCTTTTTCTACCCTTCCAAGTTGATGTCGAACTGGAGCTCATCTTGCAATCTGGAACCGCTGGAAAGACTGCCAAGTGCATGGCAGTCGAAGGCCGGCAGCTACACTACAGAAGTGGATGGCCTCCTTTACAGAAACGTCGTTCGGGAAGCAAACAAAAACATGCGGTACTTCGGTACCATCCTTGATTTCGACTAAATTGAACGGTTATTCACAGCGGCCACGCTGTTCTTTTCATGTTCATCGCTCCGACCAGGTCTGACCAAGCCGCCTTCCGTCGTAGACCGTGGCATGCCCCACGTGCTGCAGGTGCACCCGGATCCTGGGGCCCGATCGGAAGCCGATGTCATGGAATCAAACCCACCCAGGGTTAGCCTGGGTCTAGAACCGTAGGGTCACTTTGAAGAACAAGGGAAGCCGCCTTGAAAGTAACTATGTTTAGTGGGAAGGCCACTAAACAGAAGGTATAGAGGGAGAGAGAGAACTACAATCCCATACTGAACATGGTATAATTCGGGCTTTCTGTCTTTAGTTCTAATTCAGTGCCCCCCCCCATGTGATTCAATAATATTGGCCCTTGGGTGGTGGTCATGAAAATGCAGCCCCCCGCCCTCACTCCAAGTCTCTGGTGCTGGCGACCCGTCCAAATGGAGATAGCCAGCAGCGTGAAGTCATCCTGGCCATGTCTGACATGTCTGGATATGGAGTCAGCGTTCCTGGAGTCTGTGTGGCCCTGCAAAACATCAGGTCATATACCTAAAGTTCAGGGGTCATGACCCCAATGCTTAGAGGCTACTGCAGACAAACTGGCTTGAGCTTCAGGCTTCACAGACTTGGGGTTGAAGGCTGCTTCAGTGCCGCATGAACAAGCGATTAGGAACAAAGGCATGACTCCCCCCATACGAGTCATGGATATCCTTGTGCAGTTCTGAAACAAATGGGATTGCTGCTCATCCCGCATCAATACTCAGCAACCAATCATTGCATGGTGAAGACAAAGGCGCTGCAAACCTTGCATGTGCAAGACACGTGTGTATATGATTATCTATGCACATAATATGCCGATATATGCGTGTAAGATATATTACGCTATACATACGTGTACATTGCAATTGGTTTCTGCTTGTTCACCCATGTGTCTTGAGTTTGGTCTTTGCGAATGGCGCAAAGCACCCAACAATGAACACACGTGGGTGGCTGACATGCTTGGCAAACCTCACCCACTGATTGCCTGAGGGCCTTCACCTGGTTCAACTCCCGGGGGCCTAACAGCTTCAGCTTTATGTTGCTTGCTACCACTACATGAAGACAGCGCATAAGAGTCCAACAGCTTGAAAGTCAGTTCATGGCCAGCAGAATCGCTCGCTTCACCGATCGGCCCAGCACACAAGACCAAATCTGCCCTTCAAACAGGCCAACAGGTGATGCCTGCAAGCGGAAAGGGGACCGACGTGGGTGAAGTCTTGGTGGTGCTTGTGTCCACCGACCGAATTTGAGGACGTTCCCTAGTTGATTTCAAAGCCATATGCGCCGTGGTCAAACTCCGTATGTAGGCCATGATCTTCGGTCGCATGTCGAGTGCGTGTGGTTAGGCACTTTGGCCCGATGAGATCGAGAACATAGGGTGAGAAGACTACCCTGACACCTTGTCAAGCAGGGATTTAAGTATATTCAGTATTGCGTGGCACTTAGCAGCAGCATGTACATTGTCAATGACAAGCTGTGAAGAGGCCACAGCAGTACACTTAGCATGTTGAAGAGGCAACAGGAGGCGTTGCCGGCGTCCGCAGCTGTACCCGCAGAAGGCACAAATAGGCACAGCAATATGCCAAGAGGGCGTCCAAGCGTGTGCAACGCAGTTGTCCAAGATGAGGCGGTTCTCCCAAGAAGTGCGAATGAAGGCCCATCTCGTAATAGCGCCACGAAATTGGACCGCCGCAACCTTGAGGGCCTTTCGGATAGAGAGGCCGTCGAGAGAAACCCACAGGTCAAGAGGAAAAGACTCAAACGGTCTAGATTTCAGGGAATTCTGAATGTCAGTGCAAATTGTAGGACTGCAAGGGTCCAGAACAATATCAGTGTCAGGCGCAAAAGTGAAAGGTCGCCTAGGCGCAACAACCAAAGGGGCAGCGGTCTTGTATACGAGCCTCCGGCGGAGGGTAATCTGTCAAAGAAGGGGTTGCTTGCCAGACGCAACGTACTCATCGTTAATATTGCAAAGCATACGAAAGGCTGCAGGGAGAAGATCGTTCCTGGCGAGTCTCATGGTTCCCTTACAAACTTCACGATGAGTGTCCAGATTCTCTATTCAGTGGATGACAGCCCTTACTAAGCTCAAGAAAAAGGGTGCTTTGACCGTGGCACATATGGGAACATGGTTGTGGGAAATTGCCCTTTCGGTGCTACCAAAGTGGGCCATCCCTCTTACTACTTCGTCTTTTTCTAGGGGGATTCTCCTGCGTCTCACAAAAGATTGCCAACAAAAACACCATTTTGCGGAACCACGCGCCCCGCCGCTGCGTTTTGCCGTCTCGAAAACGGGCAACCTCAAACCCAGCGCCGAAAAAAAACCATCAAAACGCGGAGAAATTCGGCTGGATGCCTGCGGCAAGCGCCGGCTGTGCGCCAGGGGCGAGACCAAGCTCAGGGCAGGCTTGCCTCCTTGGTCAGGGTCGCTCCGGTGATTTGATAGGCATGTGCGCATGTGTGTGTCGAAATAAGGGATCCCCTAAAATGGTGAGTTGACTCAGTTTACTCTCCCTTAAAGCCAACAATATACCAACAATATGCCTCCTTCAGGAAACACACAGCCACCTTGGATAATTCAGGCTACCTCATTCCCTGCAAGAAAGACTCTGTCACAGGGGTAAAGTGGTCCTGGTAAAGGGAAACCAAACCAAACCAAACCAAATTGAGAACCTAGTGGGTTGGTGATCTTGAAGAGGCTCCCAACACCCTGTAATTCTTTGTCCGGTCGTGACTAAGCACTCAACAGGGTGCCCACTTCTCCTTTCCCTTTTGAAGGGCGTCACAAAAGGTCCCAATGAAAGGCATGCCCCCAAGTGTCCCAACATGTCCCAACTTTTATTGCAGAACCACGACTCAGTTTATGCCACTTGGGTATATCTCTAAACCTAAATGAGCACACACCCCCGCGTGGACCAAGCGAAAATGCGTGTTTTCCTTTGAGCTCACACTAAACCTCAAGGGTAGACTCGAAGCAAAACACATGTTAGCTTTTCTACTTCAGGATCTAGCCGTTTGCAACCAGTGCAACCAGCCTGGGCCCTTGGCAGCCCCGTCCAGTTGTCCCCTCGTCAACTCGGGCCCGCGCTCGGGTCCACTCTGCAGCTCTCGCCCTGTGGCCCGCGGCCACGGGCCTCGTGAGCCATGGGCTCGGTGTGAGGCGTCACAATGACTTGCTTGGTGTATTCATTCCCACGTCCAGACCTCCCAAATCCCGTTTTCAGGTTTGGTCCCAGGATTTGGAGTACCTTGTGCTAGCTGATTGTTGATTACTCACTATACAGCTGGAAAGAATATGTTACAATTATGTATCCTCTTTCCTGGTGTTACACCTATATATATATATATCCTCTGTCCTGGTGTCCCAGGGCAGTGCCCGTCGGCTGCGTGAAACAAACAAGTCACATGCACGGACTACTGGTGGCAACATCAGGAAGCCCAAAGATATCACAACCTATTGTAGTTTACCAACCGAATCGGACATCAGGCATTCCTTAAGACAAACAAACAAACAAACAAGCAAACCAAAACAAAAACCCCAAAACAAGCAAACGCACAAACAAACAAACAAACAAACAAACAAACAAACAAACAAACAAACAAACAAACAAACAAACAAACAAACAAACAAACAAACAAACAAACAAACAAACAAACAAACAAACAAACAAACAAACAAACAAACAAACAAACAAACAAACAAACAAACAAACAAACAAACAAACAACAAACAAACAAACAAACAAACAAACAAACAAACACAAACAAACAAACAAACAAACAAACAAACAAACAAACAAACAAACAAACAAACAAACAAACAAACAAACAAACAAACAAACAAACAAACAAACAAACAAACAAACAAACAAACAAACAAACAAACAAACACAAAAACACACAAACAAACAAACAAACAAACAAACAAACAAACACACATGCAAACAAACGAACGAACGAACGAACAAACAAACAAACAAACAAACAAACATACAAGCAAACAAACAAACATACAAACAAACAACACACATACAAACAAACAAACATCATCATGGGTGACGTCGCACCCCACCAAGTGACAGCGGTATAATTGGCGCAAGTTGAATGCCTCAAATGCCCTCAAACCACATGCGAAGGGGATTCGCCTAAAGGAGCTGCGAACAAGAAATGATGGGTTGGTTGTGTATAAAATGGACTAGTTGCAATATCATATCACGTTTTATCGCAGCTATGTGCAGTTGAATCTCATTTTCGCCCACCTCATGGCCGCTGAAAATGATGTATCTCTCATACCATGGGAGTATCATCCCTACCGCTTTGCCGCCGCGGATCTCTCCGATTTGCTTCCAGGGCCCCGCGGTTTGGGCAGCCCGGCAGCTCCCTCGCGGATGCGCGCAGAGATCCTGCGGCAGGGAAGAGCATCCCTGACAAGATAGTTCCCGATCACTTCCGCTAGCCCGGCCATCCCCAAGCCACTTGCAGGGAAAACGGGGGGAGATCTGCCACTTTTTCATGCTCAAGCCAGTCAGAAACCGCTCGACCTGGTTCCTGGGAAGGCGCATGCAACCGCATGAACCCGTGCAACCGCGGCCATGGTCCCTAAGCTTTTTGGTTAACCCCCAGCCATAGGTGTCCTTTTTGGAAAATAGGTGGCCCTGGTAGAGGATTGAACCACCCAAAACAACCAGGGCCTTCGATTTTTTGAGCAAAACAACCAAAAAGAACACCTATGCTTGCAGCAACTTTTGGCATCTTGACTTGCTGATTGCACCGGACGCTAAGTTTGGCCTCGATCCACCAGACAGGAGATTGTGGCAGAGCACCACGTACCTCCGCGTCGTGATAGGGGATACCCCAACTCAAGTTTTAGCTACACTGCAGCTACACTCCTGCAGATGAACAGAAGGACCCCCAAACAATCTATTTTTGTAGGATCGGAACCTGCACTTCGAGAAATGGACTCCTGTTCGAGGTTCCATGTTGAGTCGCGGTCTCCTCCAACGAATGACTTGAACAAAGGGCGTAGGCCCTCCTTGTAGCGCTGCGACTTGCAAGGCCAGTGGTGAGTATCAATCAGTTACCCAACCGATAGATACAACTAGAACAGCTGGAGAGGTACCACAAATGGGTTGGACATTCACAATTGGGGGACTCCGTGTGGTAAGTGACTCACCGTAGACAATAACGAAGCCATTTCGAAAGACAACAGGGCGGCCAAACCCTTTCTGGCCTAGACTGTCACTTAGCCTTCCAAACTACTCAGCTAGACCCTCTGTTGGTGCCGCTCGTTTAAACAAGCAACATATCGTATCTTATTTGTTGACCTCCCCAAACAACAGGCATGACTTTTGGTGTACGAAGCCCTTCGGCCAGCATTGGTTGAGCGGTGAACAAAACCGAGAAAAATACTGCCACCGTAAAACAGTATACAGAGCATACCAATGGTTAAGAGCTCACAACCAGATATAGCTTGCTCACTGATATACAGGACGGTGTTGGGTACGCACAGAGGAGGGATCCACACCATGGCCGCCTCGGCTTGGTTGCACGCAGGGTTATAAACCCAGCGAACCCCATTTAGCTTTATAACCCCCTGTGTCTACCTTTCTTCCAAATCATGGAAGAGGACAACGGGCTTCACCCAAAGGAAAGTAGCCTTCTACAACCCACCTGTCAGCTTCCAGGGTACCCCTCCCCCCATTTGGAGCCCACGCCCAGCCAACAGGGTACAAGGAAACCAAATGATGCCCACCCGTGTTGGCTATTGGACACATGACATGACACTTTGTCAAAGATTCATGCAAGTGGAGGTTCCCATGTCAATGCATATATGAACCTTGATCTGTAGTATAAGCCGCAGTCTACATCTAAATGTGCGAACGTCCCCTAAAGGGGACATGGGACGTGTTTGTCGACCATATCCCGTTTTTGGGCCATGGACCATTAGTCAACCTTTGGGCCAACTTCCTACAATATGTCCTGGAGTCCCGGGTTCTTAGACACATACATCCCCCCCCCCTCCCTCCCCCCCCACCCCGTTTTTCCTTTTTGACGCCATGCAATCAGCTGCCCTTTGAGCTCATCAGTTTGGTGAGCTCAGAGCCATGAGAACCAGCATGCACGCGACCTGTGGCTGTGCTGAGCTATGCGTTCCAACGACGGGGGGGGGATATCCTAAACTCAGGGCTTTTGGATGCTCAAACAATGCAGCCTTTTGAATGGTTGCCTAAGATTAAAACAAAAAGTCAATTGTTGATAGTGGTTGCCGAAAATTCCGCCTTTGGGATTGCTGCCCAAACTTGGGCCGGTTGGATGGTGAACAGGCAGCCAAAGAGAAACCACCCGTTTGAGGTTTCCCATTCCAAGACCCAGCCACGCCCGCAACCCCATCGCTTCATTTTCGAAACAAAGGGCTAGCAGGCCCTCAGACGGAAAGTTAGCAGCACCAGCTCAACTAAATCTTCCCTGCTTGACCAGTGATGGGAAAACAAGCCCAGGTAGCCCCGACTACGCAACCCCAGAACCCTGCCAGAACCCCCTCGGAGCTGCTTCCAACCAGTCCGAAACCTTGGGCAAAGAGCTCAAGGTTTTCAGCTGGGGAAATCTCAATTATTGCCGGTGGACAGAAGGCTGCTTCCAAAATGGGCATGAACCCCTCACAATGCTTTGTCCTTTCACTTTTCTTTTGGACATAGTCCTAAATGTGGGTCAGTGATCTTCGGAACTCCTTGTGAATCCACAGCGCCCAGTTGAGATGAAGTCAAAGTCATATGGGAAACTGAGGGAAACTTAGGGCTCGTTCCCCACGTCCCTCCCAAATCGGACCAAACCTCATATGCGGCTGGTGTCAGTGTCCAATTCTTCCAAGGCAGTATGCCTAGTGCTGTCGCTCCCAGACCTGCTCATGACGCTATGTATGCACACGGCCGCGGTGGCCAAATAGACAACAGCACTGCGTGAGCAGTGTTCTGAACCCAGTTGGCCGATTGAAGATAAATATCAAGTGTATGCAAGCTAACCAAACGGCACCACACACGAGCACGCGATAACTCTTTCATTCGAGCAGTGTGTTGGTGCCAGGGACTCATCTTCCCCTGTCAGATGACCAACGCTGGGTGGGCCCCATGGGCCACCCAACTCACAATTCTCAAAAACTGAAGAACGGGTGTGCAGACTGATAGCGCCCGCCCCTGAGCCGGGGCCCGTGGCACCCAGGCCACAGGGGGGTCTGCCACCAGGGGAAGTGAGTCACCCACCGGCTCCGGTCACGGGAGCATGGGTGGGCCCACGCTAAGATCAAATGCATCTCCATTCAGGAGACGCGGGAGAAAAACAAACTCCTCACAGAGTTCCTGCTTGGGGACCCTTTGTAAAGGGTCGAACCCAGAGAAATCCGGGTGCGTCAGCTCATCAGCCCATTGATTGAATTCACGGGGCACATGGTTGGCCGCCAGCGAGCAGCCATGGGTGTGGAGCAGGAAGACCAGCTCCATCAGGATCGCCGCCGTGTAGGGCTTCTTGGATCCAAGGTTGAGCATCGCCATGACGTTGCCCTGATTGTCACTGCCCACCGGGAGTCGGACCCGGGAGGACAGAGGGCCTTGGTGCGTGAGGATCATGTTACAGAGGAAGAGCGTGCCCAGCATCTCCAGAGCTGCAATCCTCCGCTTTGGATCCCCATTCTTGAAAGCCCAAGGGTACTCCTCCACGTGGATCTGCTCATGGAACCAGTACACCTCCTTCTTGTCCGGTTCCACTGTGTTGGAGCACCAACCTCCCACAAATGCCAGTCCGTCGTCCGAGGCGCTAGCGTCGCTGCAACCCCACCAAGAGGACTTTGGCAAGTAGGGGGAGTACTGGACGAAAGGCGTGTTGAAGAGGAACCGCAGCATGAACGCCAGCATCCTGACCACCTTGGGGGGTTTCCCCACCGTGGTGGTGGCCATCTTCCAGGCCCAAAGTGGCTGGAGCATCGACTTCGCCAGCGGACATGCAGCCGTTGCCCATTGGATGCGGCCCAGGGCCTTCTCGATGTCCTTTGAGTGCATCGCCTGCCCTTCCACCATGGTCTGCAAAACCTCCATGACCAGGATGTGTTTGTTGGCTGCCATGAGAACCTGCGGGATGTTCGGGTGGACCACGAAGCCCAGCCATGTGTTAACCTCCGCCAAGTGCGTCTTCTTCCAGCTAAGTGGGGTGCCCAATGCCAGGAGTGTGGCCAGCAGCGCCACCGCCAAGTTCACTGCCCCCTCGCTTCGAAGCAGCCACAGGAAGTCGTCGACGAAGACGAAGTTCCAATCCACTTGAGCCTGAGCAGAAGGGCTGCCAGGCGTCCCCAGTAGGATTGGGCACTGGCCATGCCATATGTGCCTACCTTGTTCACCCACCACTTCCTGAGGACCTTCACTCTCCGGTGGGCCTTGGTGACGTCCGCCTTGAGCAGCACCCACCTGGTGCCCGGCTCCGGCCATAGCCAGCCCCCAGGTGGAGGTTTGACAGACCCCCCCTCGGGGCCAGAGGCACCCTGAGAGGGGGGTCCCTCCGCAGCTGCCGCATGTAGCCAATGGAGAGCTTGAACCCCATCCAGCACCGTCGGAGCCGTCGTCCTTTCCACCGTCTGGATCCTGATGGTGTCATTGGCCCCTCCCACCGAGCCATCGTAGATCGTGCGGATCTTGTCCCCCTCGTCGATGCCCGCTAGGGGGCCGGGACAAAGGTCCTCGCTGTCGCAGCCACAGCGCGATGCTGCCTCCTCCTTACTGAAGGGGCCCTCCACCATGCCCATGGGGACCTCCTCCAGAAATGTGCCCCGGATGAGATCGCTGAAGTGATCCGCCGAGGGGTAGTTGCCCCTGCCCGTTGGGTGGGGGAGTTCCTGGAACTCCGGCTCCCCTTTGAGCTCCTTCTTGAGTGGCCAGATGCCCGGCGAGGTCAGGGGTGGGTCCGTGACCCCCAGTGGGACCCCTTGCTCCAGGTCCCGGGGACCGCTGGTCGGCCTGCCCCCGGCGCCAGAATCTCCCTGGTGTCCTCCAGCAGGTCCTCCGGGAAGGGATGTGACCCATCCCCCAACGAGAGCGACTCCTGGAGCTTGTCCCCCCACGGCAAAGTGAGGACACAGATCTTGGCCCCCAGCGCTGCTGCTTTGGACAGCGGTCGGGCCCACGGGGCCAACCGTCCCAATGAGGCCACCGTCTCTTAAGGGACGCTGCTTGAAAGCCATCTGGAGGTACATGACCTTGTCGGAGATATTGGGGTCGTGCGTGATCGGCAGGATGGTGGGCCGATCCGAGATCTCCATGCCCTGGTGTGCCCATGGATCCAGGGGAAGAGTTCCCCCCCCAAGTTCATCCACCTCGCCTGTCCTCTGTGTCGATGTCCCCGCCTCTGGATTATCCGAGGCCGAGACCGGAAGTGAGCCCAAGGTCAGACCTGCCAACGCTTGTTGGCCCGCCTTCAGCCTTCGGGACTGGCGCTTGTTGTCCCCCGGCGTGCTGGGAGAAGGTTCCCTTGGACGCCTCGGGGGGGTCGTTGGGTTAGCCTGGGGCGTCATGCCTCCCGGCCTCAGCGCCTCCAGGACGGGTCCCGCTCGGCAAAGGATGGCCGCTGCGAGACCCTGCATCATCTGCTCCGGGTACCGGCTGAGGTCACTGGAGTTGAGCTTTTCTCCCCTGGGGTGAGACCCGTGGTTGCAACGCAGGTCATGCCAATGGTGGAGAGGAAGGTCCGTTGACAACGCCGTGGACTTCACAACCACCTGGCCCAGGCGGCACTCATCGAACTTGATGAGGGAGTGGTGGAGTGCACTTGCCCATTGAACGTAGGCCCGCGTGACCCAGATCGATGAGCACCTCGCTGCGCTCGGGCTCTTGCTGCACTCCATCGGGTCCATCGGGTGCTCCAGGAAGGAGGAGCCAACCTGCGGGACCGTTAGCTGACCTAGCCCCTTGTAGGCCAGCGAGGTCAGGTACATCTGTCGGAGCATGAGCACGCTGTCATTGTCCGTGTCCTCCCTAACCCGGGGCTCCAAGTCCTCTAAGCCCCACAAGGTCTGCTCTGCTCTGCCCCTCACCGGCGGCGGGGAATGCTTTTTTTTGTCCTGGGCCGGAGCCGGGCCGGAGCCGGGCCGGAGCCGGGCCGGAGCCGGGCCGGAGCCGGGCCGGAGCCGGAGCCGGGCCGGGCCGGAGTCACAGCCGGCCGGAAGCGGGAGCTGAGGCCGGGCCGGAGCCAGGGCCGGGCCGGAGTCGGGCGAGTGAAACGGAGTGAGCGCCAGAGCCGGGCCGGAGCCGGGCCGGAGCCGGGCTAGAGTCAGAGCGGGGCGGAAGCGGGAGCCGGGGTCAGGCCGGAGCCGGGCCAGAGCGGAGCCGGGCCGGAGCCGGGCCGGAGCCGGGCCGGAGCCGGCCGGAGTCAGAGCGGGGCGGAAGCGGGAGCCGGAGTGTCGGAGTTGGGCCGGAGCCGGGCCGGAGCCGGGCCGGAGCCGGGCCAGAGTCAGAGCGGGGCGGAAGCGAGGCCGGGCCGGAGCCGGGCCAGAGCGGAGCGGAGCGAGCGCCAGCCGGGCCGGAGCCGGGCCAGTGTGAGATGGCGGACGGCCGGCGCAACCTGCTCCGCTGCGTGGCCACCTACGCTCCGAAGTTCAGAGCCGGCCGGAGCGGGACTTGGAGCCGGAGCCGGGCAGCCTGGCCAGAGTGGTTCAGAGTGGGACGGGTCGGAGCCGGTTGGAGCTGCAGCCTGGACTGTGCGGAGCGAGAGCCGGAGACGTGGAGCCAGCCAGCCAGAGCCCCGGAGCTGGCGAAACTTCAATTGTTGTCCATACTGTGTATGTTCCAAGCCCTAAGCTTTAAGAAGCACACACACACACACACGAACACATAATGTTGTTTTTATGTATGTATGTATGTATGTATGTATGTATGTATGTATGTGTATGTCTGTATGTGTATGTATGTATGTATGTATGTATGTATGTATGTATGTATGTATGTATGTATGTATGTATGTATGTATGTATGTATGTATGTATGTATGTATGTATGTATGTAATGTATGTATGTGTGTATGTATGTATGTATGTATGTATGTATGTATGTATGTATGTATGTATGTATGTATGTATGTATGTATGTATGTATG